TGAACTTGGGACCTTGGGCTTGCGAGGCAGGTACTGGAACTACTGAGCTAAATCCCTGGCCCTTTCTTACAGAAGTCTTTTATTTTCTTTGTTAATTCCTAAGTATTTAATTTTTCTTATAGCTATTATGAGTGGTATTGTTTTCCAAATTTCTTTCTTGACAGGTTCATTATTGGCTTATAGGAACACTTGATTTTTGTGTGATTTTTGTATTCTGCTACCTTGCCGAATTTATTAGTTCTAGGAGTCTTTTGGTGGAATTTTTTTGAATCTTCTGTGTAAAGGATCATATAACCTGTAAAAATGGATAGTATGACATGTGCCTTTCCTATGTGTATTTTTTTTTCTCGGTACCAGGGGTCGAACTCAGGACCCTGTACTTGTAAGGCAGCCATGGCACCACTGAGCTAAATCCCTGGCCCCTCCTCTATGTATTTTTTGTCTTTCTCTTGCCTGCTTTTTCTGGCTAAAGTGTCACTATATTGAACAGGATTGGTGATAGTGGACATCCTTGTCTTGTTCTGGTTTTAGAGGAAAAGTTTTCAGTTTTTCCCCATTTAATATGACCCAACAAGCCAGGTGTGGTTCTGCATGCCTGTAATCTCAACACCTGGGAGGCTGAGGCAGGAGACTCACCATGAGTTCAAGGCCAGCTTGGGTTACCTAGTGAGTTCAAGGTCAGCCTAAATTACATAGTGAGACCCTGTCTCAAAAAAACAAAACAAAACAAAAAAATCCAACAAAAATACTTTTAAAGGTAAAAGAACCTAAAACATATGGTAGGATATATCCATAGGATGGGTTACCATGCAGCTATTAAAATGTTTTTGCTGGGTACAAAGATTATGTGCCCATAGGCCTGGCTACTTGGGGGGATGAGACTGGAGGACTGCAAGTAGGCAGCGGCCAGCCTGAACATTTTTTTTTTTTTGTGGTACCGAGGATCAAACTCAGGACCTTGGGCTTGCCAGGCAGGCGTGCTGCCACTGAGCTAAATCCCTGGCCCTAGCCTGAACAGTTTGGTAAGGCCTTGTCTCTTTTTTTTTGGGTACCAAGGATCAAACTTGGGTCCTTGCACTTGTGCAGCAGGTGGAGAAACCACTGAGCTAAATCCCCGGCCCTTGTCTCTTATTTTAAAATAAACTAATCTGTGGTTTAGAAGAGTAATGATAAAGGAAGGTGCTTACTATACAACTTTGAGGGAAAACAATGTGGACATGTTTAATGTGATCTCAATAACATAAAGAAGATACTGCACAGAAAAGTCTTAAAGAGCAACACCAGAATGTTAACAGTATGCAGGTGGGATTTTTGTGTGGCTTTATCAGTTTGTATTTTCGTTTTTAAGCATTTTAGTTTTTTTTTTTTGTACGGGGGAACGAACTCGGATCCTTGAGCTTGCGAGACAGGTGGCGGAACCACTGAGCTAAATCCCCGGCCCAAGCATTTTAGTTTTTATTAATACATGTTTATAGTACATAATGATTACATGGTCATGGGGAGTTGGAACATGTACATAATACATTATAATTTTATGTCTCCTCCCTCTTCTCCCTCCCTGTATTTCTTGGTCTTATTTTGTATTTTCTAAGTTGAGTTTTTATTGTTCTGTTGAAGACAATCTAAAGAATAAAGTTGTAGAGACATGGACTGCCAATGGGAAGGAAAAGGCAGTGTAATGGTGAGCTTCTTGGGTACGAGCAGTGGTATTACAGAGCCATCTCTATAGGCTCTCATGACCTGGAGAAAGGTGAGCTGAGGCCCATGAGAACCGAGCATAGTTACCTGTCAGTCTGACTCCCATGTCTTTATCCATGTCCAGCTCTTAGAACAAGCCCTGGTGATTGAGGAGCAGCTGCGCAGGGCGGCTTACCTGAACATGTCAGAGGACCCTTCTCACCCTTCCATGGCCCTCAACACTCGTTTTGCTGAGGTGGAGTGTTTGGCGGAAAGTCACCAGCATCTGTCCAAGGAGTCGATGGCAGGCAACAAGCCAGCCAATGCAGTCCTGCACAAAGGTAGCCAGTGGCTCCCCTGCCTCCTGTGATGGAGCCGCCCCTCTCCACTAACCCCTTCTCAACACCTGTGTAATTCTTGCCCAGAACCTTTTTCAGAGCCTGTTAGAGAGCTTAGGGTGTGCTGGAAATCTCTGCCTCAGAGGCAATCAAGGACGGTAGTTCTTTGCCTCTTCTAATTCTTTTTCTTTTTTGGGTACTGGGGATTGAACTCAGGACCTTGTGCCTGCAAGGCAGGCGGCAGAACCACTGAGCTAAATCCCCGGCTGCGGCCCTCTAATTCTTTTTTTTTTTTTTTTCTCTCATTCTTAATATAGTCACGATCTTGAGATGGAAAGTAAAGCAGAATAATAGTGTCATCTGGGATACTTTAGAGGTAACTTAAGGTGATTTAAGATCTCCTTGCATTCTAGACCCCTTTCAACATTTTGTTTCTAATTAAAGTAAAACATTCTGAGGAGGTGGAGGGTGAATTGAGGAAAAGAAGGCTGTTAAAGAGGAAGTGGGAGACATCCAAAGTTAGGGAGGCAAAATGAGAGCACAGGAAGCAATAGGGACAAGCTTCTCTGGAGATGTGGAAATGCAGACAATAGTGAGCATGGGATAATGATAAGGGATAAAGTTAGATGACTTTAAAAAGCAGAGAACTGGGCCAGGGATTTAGCTCAGTGGTTTCACCACCTGCTGCGGAAGCGAAAGGACCCGAGTTCGATCCCAGGTTCCCCCAAAAAAAAGCAAAAAAAAAAAAAAAGAACTATGAGACAGTGATCTAGAGTTGAGGAATCTGAGCCTGATAGAGGCCAGATCTGGTGACTTTATGACAAAAGACAACACATCACAGTCACCTGGTCATTGAGAAGTGAGAGCTCAGTGTGTTGGTCCACACCTGTAATCACAGCATTTGGGAGGCTGAAGCAGGAAAATCACTGCAGTTTGAGGCTAGCCTGGGCTGTACAGTGAGTTCAAAGTCAGCTTGAACTACACAGCGAGACCCTGTCTCAAAAAACAACCCCTCCCCCCAAAAAAGGATGGGGTCAGGGCAGAAAGATCTGAGGATCTCCATCTTGACCATCACAGCTCACCACCTTTTCCCCCTTCCTACAGTTCTGAAACAGCTGGAAGAGCTGCTGAGTGACATGAAAGCTGATGTGACGCGACTCCCAGCTACCATTGCCCGAATTCCTCCAGTTGCTGTGAGGTTACAGATGTCCGAGCGGAACATTCTCAGCCGCCTGGCAAACCGGGCACCGGAGCCTCCCCCACAGCAGGTAGGACCATTTTCTTGTCTGTGCCAGCTTTCCCCCCAGAATCGTTCTCGACTCGTATCTTTGCTCTTGGTCCGTCCCTAGTTTTATTCCTGGCAGCAGCTGGGCTGTCCATTGAGTCCCCTGGGCTCAGGTACAGTTCTGTGGTCTGGAATTCTAACTCGTGGCTCTCTCTCTGTAGGTTGCCCAGCAGCAGTGATGATCTGGATGAGTGACAACCACCTCCACAGCTGAGCAGTTTTCTCTTGTTCCTGCTTCTCCCCAGGGGGCCTGAGACCCTGGCCTTCTGCCCATTTTCTCGTAAAGGAACAGCCCCCTGGGGACCAGGGCGGGGAGGGAGTGAGGGGCAGTGGTGCCCTTCCTGCTGAAGAGACACGCAGCAGTAGCGCCGGCGCCATCTGCGGGGAGCTGGCGGGCTGGCCTTCTGGACCCTGGCTGCTCCCCACTGTAACTTCTGTTACACACAAACTGTTGTGGGTTCCTGCCAGGCTTGAAGAAAATGATCTGAATTTCTTCCTCCTTTTGGTTTTATTTTGTTGGTTTATTTTGTGTTTTCTTTTGTCATTTTGGGGGTATTCAGAGTGGGCCGGGCCCCTGGGCGAGACACAGCTACCTCTGTTGGCATCTTTTTATACCAGGGACCCAGCGGCTCCAGCCACTGAGCAGCTAAAATGAAATAAAGTGGGGAAAAAAAAAAAAAAAAGGAAAAACAACCCAAAGCGTAAAAAACCACAGCAAATTTCTTGATGAAAATTGAAATAAAAGTTTCCTTGTATTTTAGTGTTCTGGTTTAGTGTGGGTATAAGGCACAGGTGGACGACCGGTATGGAGGGAGCCCGGTGTGGAAGGGGCCGGAAGGCTGTGGGTGGGAAGGAAGGGCCACTCTTCCTGCAGAGGCCAGTGCTGTGCCCTGGGCTGGGCCTGCCCGGACCCTGCCTGAAGGGTCTCTTCTCCTCTGGGCCCTAGAGGTCACCTGCATCCAATAGGAAGATCAGCCTCGTAGGGCTGTCAGGTAAAATCAGTAAAGTGCCAGGGACTTTGTTTTTGCAGGGCCTGGTAAGTGCTGGGCAGGCAAGAGACTCCTAGATGAGGTGCGCCTGACCATTCAGATTTTCAGAGTAGGCTGGGCATGGTGGTGCGCGCCTAAAATTCCAGTACTTGGGAGGCTGAAGCAAGAGGATCGCAGCCTCAAGACCCTGTCTCAAAAAACCCAAAAGAAATTCTTTTTCATGTCAAACGACCTTGGAGTTCACTCAGGGAGGGGCCGGGATTTAGCTCAGTGGTTTCACTGCCTGCTGCACAAGCTCAAGGACACGAGTTCTGTCCCCGGGGCCAAAAAAAAAAAAAGTTCATTCAGGGAGGGTCGAATAGGTTTTCCTTGCAAAGTCTGGTGGAAATGTCTCTTGGGCTCCAGCTGTGGACCGGGGCCAAGGGGACCCTTACCCGGGTGGGGGTCCCCTCAAGAAGGGGAGGTCGGCGGTGGGCGGCTCTTCGGGCTGACGGGACCGAGGACCTGGAGAGGCTGGAGGCAGAAGCTGGCGCCCCAGGCGGAGCGGGCGATCCAAGGCCCCTTCTGCCCCAGGGTCTCGAGCGCCCCGAGCGGGGCGCGGTCGTGACCGGAAGGGGCGGGGCGGAAGAGCGTCTCCGCGCGCAGGCGCAGCTCGCTTCTTCAGTGAGCGCGGTTCCGCACTCCCCGGAGTGCACGTGGAGCCGCGGCTGGGCTTGATCCGGTGTGGGGTAGGCCTGGGCTGGATCTGAGGGAAGTCGGGGCGCGGGCCAGTCGCTGCGGAAGGGGCGTGGGGAGCCTCGGTCCTGCGATCCCCCGACACGCGCGACGCCGCCTTCCCCGTGCTTTTCTCCACTAGCATGGGGCGCAAGTTGGACCCTACGAAGGAGAAGCGCGGGCCCGGCCGGAAGGCCCGAAAACAGAGGGGCGCCGAGACCGAGCTGGCCAGATTCCTGCCTGCCGGTAAGGGTTCCTCCCCTGCGGCCCGCGCCCACGTTGTGTGTGGGCGCACCCTGCTCAGGTAGAAGATGCCAGGGAGGAATGGCAAATGGAGGCTCGGGGCGGGGAGGGTGCGGCGGGGCACGAGTACTCGTGCAAGGAGAGGTGTCTTTTCACGTTGAGTTTGTTTCTTGCGGAAGTTGTAGTTTTGTTAAAGCTGGGTTTGGAAAATGGTAACATTTTGGCAAGTGGGAGTTGGGAATGGGACAGGCCAGTCACCTGGTGGGAGGGATGGAGATGGGAAAGCTCCGTGGTGTCTACCTGGAGGTCAGGTGGGAGAGACAGCTGCACAGGGAGTTTCGGTGTTGGGCAGAGGCTGCAGTTTATTTCAGTATGAGCAAGCCCACTCGGGACTCTTAGGACACGCGGTATCATTTCGTTCTCTAAGAAAGTGGGTGCTGAGAGTTTAACTTGCACACACACAGAGTAAACGGCAGGGCTGAAAACTGTGCCTTTTGTATGTTGGTAGTGTATAAAAAACAGCATCTGTGAAGTCAAATCTGCCCTTGATAATTGAGTAATCTGAGAAAAAAGGAAAAGGAAGGAGAGAGAAACAATTTTGAATCGATATTGTCAGAATGGTGATTTTTTTTTTTTGTACGGGGGGGGGGAATCGAACTCGGGTCCTTGCTCTTGCGCAGCAGGTGGCCAAACCACTAAGCTAAATCCCCGGCCGGAGAATGGTGATATTGCTCTTTATTAAAACCTTAAGGAAGGCCCAGTATGAACTTTAAATTTGTTTCTTGAGACAGGGTCTTCCTGTAGTTCAGGTTGACCTTGAACTTGCAGCAACCCTCCTGCCTCAGTCTCCCAAGTGCTGGGATTAGAGGTCTGTGCCGCTTTAAATTTTTACTTATGTATTTTTTGTGGTGCTGGGGATTAAACTGAAGGTTTTTCTGAATGAGCTGCATGCTTGGCCCTTTTTAAATTTTTAAAAACAATTTTTTAATTTTTTTGGTACTGGGGATGGAACTCAGGTCCTTGTGCTTGTGGAGCAGGTGGCGAAACCACTGAGCTAAATCCCCGGGCCCCTTTTTTAATTTTTAAAAAATTAAAACTTTTTTTAATTTTAAAGATTTTTTTTAAATTTTGAGACTGGGTCTCTAAATTGCTAAGTTGCTCATGCTTGCCATCTTCCTGCCTCAGCCTCCTGGAATGCTGGGATTACAGGCTTGTACTACCATGCAGATTTAGTTGTTGAACAATCAGATGAGTGATTCATGTCTTTTAAAAAAAAAAATACAGGGTCTCACTATGTAGCCTAGGCTGGCCTCAGACTTGAGGCAATCCTCCTGGTTCAGCCTCTCAAGTGCTGGGATTATAGGCATCCACCACCACGCCTGGCTTTTCTTTTTTTGATACTGGGGATCGAATTCATGACCTTGAGGTTTCGAGGCAGGCGAGGGCACCACTGAGCTAAATCCCCGGCCCCTTCATTTTTGTTTTTAATGATACTTGGTTGGAACCCAGAGCCTTAAACTTACTAAGCATATACTCTGAAGTTGAGCTGTATGCCCCTAGCCCTTCCTTCAGCATTTATTCTTTGTTCACTCTATGGGGCTGGGGATTGAGCCCACGGCCTTGTACATGCTGAGAATGTGGGCTGTGCACCCCCAGCTTCCCAGCTCTCTGTCCCTTTAATTAGTGTGCTGGTCCTTTTCCTACTTGTATTTCTGCTCCCATTTTTCCCCCTGTAATCTCTTATTCTGCCTTTTTCAGCTGGTGATGAAAATTCCAAGAGACTGTCTAGTCGTGCTAGAAAGAGGTAAGTGCCCAGACTTGCCTGGATTAAATTGTTGCTGCTTGGGCCGGGGATTTAGCTCAGTGGTTTCGCCGCCTGCTGCGCAAGCGCAAGGACCTGAGTTGGATCTCCAGTACCAAAAAAAAAAAGGAAAAATAAAAAAATGGTTGCTGCTCATCTTTTAGCCACATGGAGTTGGTTGAGGGAGAGGGCTGTGACCTGTGTCATGTTCTCCTAGGGGAAGTGGCTTGGCTGCAGACGTTCCCATTTCTCACTTTGTACTTCTTTTAGGGCAGCCAAGAGGAGGTTGGGGTCTGTTGAAGCCTCTAAGACAAATGAGTCTCTGGGGACCAAACCGTCACCTGGAAAGCTACCGAAAGGTCAGTGGAAATAGAAGCTGGGTGCCCCAGGAGGACTTATACTTCCTGGGTAGGGGCAGACTTGCTGGGCGCTGTGGTGTGAAAGAAGAGCAGAGGCCATTCCTAGGGGTAGAAAGTAACAGGCTAGGGGGTGGGGTGGGGAAGTGTCCTTGCTTTTACTCCTGGATTCTTCAGCCCCTCGGAACTTTTGCAGAAGCAGTCCAGACACCCGGTAAGAAGGGAACACAGGCTTTATTTAACGCTGCTCGAGATAAGAAGCATCCAGTACCAGCGCACAGCAGTGATGAGGAAGAGGACTCTGAAGATGATGGCACAGTGGAGCAGAGAGACCTGTGGGGCTCTGAGGACAGTGATGCTGATATGGTAGATGACTATGGAGTGGACTCGGACTCAGAGGAGGCTGATGGGGAAGAGGTGAGAGTCACTGCTGGGTTTTCACAGATGGAGCTTTGCCTTTTTGTTGCTTTCCAGATTCTTGAGACTTCCCCTCAGTGACAGGATAGATAACCTGACCAGATAGAGGGGTTCCGATGCGCCTTTGCCCTTCCCTACTGCATCGCGTCCTTTCTCAAGGCACTCAAGTTTGAAGGAGCATTCTGTAGGGTAGAGCATTTAAAAAGTGAGACGCTCATTGCTGGTGAAGATGTGGAAAGGTACTCGTATGCCCCACCTTTGGGAATAGGCAGGTAAACACGTTTTCAATAAAATAATTGTCATCTGGGCTGGGGATTTAGCTCAGTGGTTTTGCCGCCTGCTGCGGAAACGCAAGGACCCGAGTTTGATCCCCAGTACCAAAAAAAAAAAAAAATTTTCATCTGAGAATTTTAAGTCTCTCTGGATCTGGTGCAGCGGCACTGCAGTCCCACCTACTGGGGAGGCTGAGGCAGGAAGATTACTAGAGTCTGGGAGTTTAAGACCAGCCCGGACAACATAACAAGACCCTGTCTCAAAAAAAAGTATTTTTCTTTGGACTTAATAATTCTGTTTTAGAAGATAATTCAAAATGTAGGCAAAGATTATTTACTGAGATGCAAGAAGTTACTGCACAATTGCATGTGAGTATGTTAGAAAAACTAGAGCAGTATGGAAAAAAAATCCCCAATTGCGACCTAGGACCTTGCACGTGCCAGGCAAGCACTGTGCCACTGAGTTACATCCCTAGCCAACTCCATGTGGACCCTTTCCCACAATCCCCTGCTGTCTGCAGTTACTACTAATTTTGCAGGCACCGTGTGTATCATAATGCCAAAAACCAGGAGCTGCCAAAGTGTTGGCTGTGTTTAAGTAGATTATAGCTCCTGCACCTGATGAGTTAACATTGGCCATTATGTCTGAGAAAAATGCTCACGATCAACGGAATGAAAGAACAAGAAACAAACTTGAAAATGCATTGTGGTTTGAACTACTTATATAAAGTGGTGCCCAAGGGCAGTTCATTTCTTTTGTACATATGGGTATATAAATGTGTTCCGTCTTCTTTTAAGTCAGTACTCGTGAAAGTAGAAAGAACAATATAACCTTTCAATCCATCACTTAGTTTCGCAATGACCAGTGTTGTGTCAAATCTTTCCGTGCTGGAGAGCAAACCCAGAGCCTGTGGGTGCTGGCCAAGTGCTTTCCCGTGAACAACATCCTCAGCCCCTGTGTTAAATCTTACTCGTTTTAGCTTCCATATGTGCTTCTGAGAGCAAGTGTTAAATCTGTACTGAGGAGTAGGACACAGGGTATTCAGCATGGCCTGGGAGCTTGTGCAGTCAGCCGCTTGTCTCTCTCCAGCTGCTGCCCATTGAAAGAGCTGCTCAGAAGCAGAAGGCTTGGGAAGCTGCTGCTGGGTGAGTTTTGGAAACTGTTCAGACAGCGGAGAGGGGGCAGCTGGGGTTAGGAGGCTGGGGAGGGAGGAGGTGTCTGTTTTGGTCTGTAATCGCTGTCCTGGACTCTTCTAGGGCCCAGTGGAGTGAGGAGGAAACTGATGAAGAGGATGAGGAGGGGATGTCCCCTGAGTCAGGCCCCACAAAGGATGAGGCAGAGGGGGGCCTGCAGATCAATGTGGATGAGGAAGAGTTTGTGCTGCCCCCTGCTGGGGAGCTGGACCTGGATATCCTTCCAGAGCTGGGGGAGGGTGGTAGGGGGAAGGTTCCCCAGGGAGGAGGTTGGCAGCCCTACAGTTACATGAAACAGTTCCTTAGCAGGTCCACATGCACAAGCTCCAGACCTGCAGCGAGTTCACAAGAGGATCCAGGATATAGTAGGAGTACTACGTGATTTTGGGGCGCAGCGGGAAGAAGGCCGGTCTCGTCCTGAGTATCTGGGCCGGCTTCAGAAGGATCTGGCCACTTACTACTCCTATGGGGACTTCCTGCTCGGGAAGCTGGTGGAGCTCTTCCCTGCGCCTGAGGTAAGGCATGGCCAGTCCAATGCCTTTGTGCTTTCCCCTCACTTTACCCCCTGTGGTGACATTAAGCCCCCTTCTTTCTTGTCTGACAAGCCTCTTGGCTGGCCTGCCTCAGCCCCTGCTGTTTTGTCTCCTCAGCTCATAGAGTTCTTGGAAGCTAATGAAGTCCCTCGGCCCATTACCCTCAGGACCAATACCTTGAAAACACGGCGCCGAGACCTTGCCCAGGTGAGGGCTGGCATTGGGCCTGTCTCGGAGTGGGACTGGCTTCTGCTAAGGGGGTTGCCCTGTTCCCCCTGGCTGGCAAACCTGGAGAGGCCCATGTTAGCATCATAGGCTGAAGGATGGGGAAGCTCATTCCTCTGGATGCATGCTTCTGGGGCTGGGACAAGACACCTGCATCAGAGCAAACTGCCTTCTGAGCAGATGCCACAGGTCCTTAATGAGCTGAGGAAGCTGACTCCTGTCCTGGGGAAAAACGCGTGTGCTGAAGCAGTGTGTCCTTATCTCCAGGGACCCAGGGAGCCTGTGTGAAAGGTCCCTGCTGTATGGTGTGGTCTCGCATACTGTGCATCTCCTGGGTGAAGGTGACTCAGTAACTGCCTTTAATGAGCTGTAACCAGTAACATGAAATTGTAGGATGAGCGAGGGCTGAGCCTCTTGGAAAATCAGGGTCCACTTCCAGAAAATGAAAAAACAGGACAGGGCATTTTGATCCTTTGGGGTAGGACTTAGATCTTGAGTCAAGAGCCTGAGGTTGAGAAGAAAGGGCAGGGCCTAAGAGTGGCTCAGCGGTAGGGCGCTTGCCTAGGACGCACGGGGCCCTGGATTCCAGCTCTAGCACTGCAGAAAGGGGATGGGAAAGAGGGTATCACAGGCCAGGTGAGGAGGGGGAAGTCCGGGGTGGCTGTTCTGGGCGGGCACTGGGAGTGGGGTGTCGTGGGGTTGCTGGTGGGCCTGGTTTCGGGTCTCCCCCAGCTCCTGGGTCGCGTGTCCTATGAGGCTTTCCAATCTCCCTCCCCCAGGCACTGATCAATCGTGGGGTTAACCTGGATCCCTTGGGCAAGTGGTCCAAGACTGGACTTGTGGTGTATGATTCTTCGGTGCCTATTGGTAAGTGTCGCCTGCCCAGTAGCCCTCCGCTCCGTGTCCTTATTCCACCAGCATGTCACAGAGTGGCCTTCCCCCCACAGGGGCCACTCCTGAGTACCTGGCCGGGCACTACATGCTGCAGGGAGCCTCCAGCATGCTGCCTGTCATGGCCTTGGCACCCCAGGAACACGAGTGGATCCTGGACATGTGCTGTGCACCTGGAGGGAAAACCAGCTACATAGGTAGGCGCACAGACAGGGTGGCCTTCTTCTGGCTCTCTGCCTTTGAAAGTAGCGGGGGTTGGTGATGCCTAGTGCTGATGGCGCTCTCCGTGAGCACCAGTCAGCTGGCAGAGCGGTAATATCGGAGCAGTTTCTGGAGTTGGTCTGGGCTCCAGGGCCAGCTGTGCCACTTACTACCCATCTGACCCGTGTGCGCCTCTCATTCTCTTTTATCCCTGAAGTGGGGTTGGAGCTGTGCTGAGCTGGCTGTTAGGTTACACGAGGGTTGTGCGGATTGACACTGTGTTTAGAAGTCCTTGGAACCAACTGGGTGTGGTCACACACACTTGTAATACCAGCACTCAGGAGGCTGAGGCAGGAGTGTCACTGGGTTTGAGGCCCGCCTGGGCCACACAGCAAATTTAAGGCCAGCCTGAGCTACAGTGAAACCCTATCTCCAAAAAACAGACCCAAAACTGTTGTCCTTGGCACAGTGTCGAATACATAATAAGCAGTGAATGGTTTTATGAGGTGGTGTCACTTAACAGCAGTGATTTAGTCTGTGCGGCCAGAAGGATGTTCACAAGTGAGTGGGTTGGAGCAGGCCGGCAGACCTGTGCAGGAGGGAGCAGGGCTTGTTGGGGTGAAGTTGTGCTGCAGGGAGGTGACTTCGCCTGTGGGCTCCTGGGCTGGAGGTGGTGAGCCCGGGGGTAGGTTGCTCAGCTCTGGCGCTCAGCTCTGGCGTCTCCCTCCAGCCCAGCTGATGAAGAACACGGGTGTGATCCTTGCCAACGATGCCAATGCCGAGCGACTCAAGAGCGTTGTGGGCAACCTGCACCGGCTGGGAGTCACCAACGCCATTATCAGCCATTACGATGGGCGCCAGTTCCCTAAGGTGGGACGTTCCCCTGTGACTGCAGTAAAGTGCTGCTCTGCAGGTGGCAGTAGCGATGGGGCTGACCTTCCCCTTTCCACAGGTAGTAGGTGGCTTTGACCGTGTCCTGTTGGATGCTCCCTGCAGTGGCACTGGGATCATCTCCAAGGACCCCGCTGTGAAGACGAATAAGGTGTGGATGGGGGGACAGCTGTTGGGGGGGCTTGGGCTGGGGGTGTGAGGCAGAGAAGAGCTCTGGGGCAGATGAAGTCATGGGTTCTCCTTGGGACAGGATGAGAAGGACGTCCTGCGCTGTGCCCACCTGCAGAAAGAGCTGCTCCTCAGCGCCATCGACTCTGTCAACGCCACCTCCAAGACGGGTGGCTACCTCGTGTACTGCACCTGCTCTGTCATGGTGAGGCCAGTGCTGAGTCAGCGCAGGGGAGGGCGAGGTGGGAGGTGCGGCCCGGGCTGTTCACAGCTTCAGCTCCAGTGACTCCTTGCTGGCTGCGTCTGTCCCCCTGTGTGCAGGTGGAAGAGAACGAGTGGGTGGTGGATTATGCCCTGAAAAAGAGGAGCGTACGGCTGGTGCCCACAGGGCTAGATTTTGGTCAGGAAGGTTTTACCCGTTTTCGAGAAAGACGGTTTCACCCCACTCTGCGCTCCACTCGGCGTTTCTACCCTCACACCCACAATATGGATGGTTTCTTCATTGCCAAGTTCAAGAAATTCTCCAATTCAATCCCCCAGGCTGGAACAGGTAAGTGATCTGTGCATTCTCCACTCCTCACCTTCTGCTCCTTGGGCCTCTCTGGAGGCCTTGTGGTGCCTGCAGGGAAGAAAAGATGGATCCTTGCTTAGCTTGGACCTAGCATGCTTAGAGTCTCTCAGAATTGTTCTTGAGCCCTGGACCCCATTGGAACAGGTTCCAGAGTTCACGTAGACGGAGATCTTTTCCTTTCTTCTCTCCGGGGGCTGTGACTGTTTTGCACTAATGCATCTCGGCTGCGGGTTGTGGTTTCTTTTTTTTTTTCTCCCCCCATACCGGGGATCGAACTCAGTCCTTGCGCTTGCGCAGCAGGCGGCGGAACCACTGAGCTAAATACCCGGCCCCTGTGGTTTCTTTTCTGTTTTGGCCTGGGGTTGACTTACTGGTAATACAGCTCTGCTGGTCCACCATTCTCAGCGCTGGCTTGGCGCAGACACCATGAGCTATCAGCAGTTCTGAGCCTGTCTCACTAATTGCAGATCATTTTCTTGGCCATCTTGAGGCTGGCCTGGATCTCAAGGGCAAAGGTGGGGTTTTCTGAAACAGATTTGAGAGTGCTGCATGTTGGGATAGGAGCCTGGGTTTAACAGCAGACGGAAGAGCTCTTAATACAAATTGTGTGATTTCCACTGGCGGGTTTTTTTTCTTTTCCTCCTCTCAATCTCCTGCTTTTTTCTTTTTCTTTTTCTCGGGGTAGTGCTGGGGCTTGAACCCAACCAAGGCATTGTTCAGACTAGGCAAGCACTGTGCCACTGAGTTACACCCCTAGCCTTAATATTTTTAAAAATAATGTCCCTTACAAAAGTTGTATCTGAATATTAAATAAAAATCTTAAGAAATATGTTACTTAAATACATATTTATCAGTCTTCATTGATGCTTTACTAGTTTTTTTCTAGTTGCATGTTATTGCATTTTGTCAGAAATCCTCATTGGAGAGAAAAATTGTCTTTGTTTTAAAAATTAAACCTAGTGCTTCAGAATTCAGATTTATTCAGGAGATGCTAGGACTCAGCCCCTTCCTGGGGATGTCTTGCTACCTGCTAGCTTCAAGAGGGCGCAGCTCTCTGTAAAACCTTTTGCCCTGAGGATGATATATATATATAGTACACACTGATCTTTTTTTCTTTTTCTTTTTTTTGAGACAAGGGCCGGGGATTTAGCTTAGTGGTTCCACCGCAAGTGCAAGGTCCCGAGTTCGATCCCTGGTACCAAAAAAAAAAAAAAAAAGACAATGTTTCCCTATGTAGTTCAGGTTGGGGTCCCGTTCCCCCCACCCCCATACTGGGGATCAAACTCAGGACCTTGGGCTTATGAGACAGGCGGGTGCCACTGAGCTAAGTCCCCAGCCAGTTCAGGTTGGTCAGGCTGGCCATGAACTCACAGTGATCCTCCTGCCTCAACCTTGGATTACATTACGCTCGACTCTAGTGATCTCTTAACACAAGTTCAAATAAGGCTTGTGCAAAAGCCAGGTGATGTGAACAATACAGATAACAGCTCTTAGCCAGCATCTTGATTATGTGGAACACTTGACCAAGAGGTGGCCATTCCCATATTGTAATAACCTCTGCTTGTTTCTTTGGTAATGATCAAGACCACTTAATGATAAGGCCCATCTCAAATACCTATTTAATTTTAACCCTAGGGAATTCTGCAACAGGCACCTCTACAGACCTAGATTCGCCAGACTTGAAGGGTCAGATCCCTCCCAAGTCTGAGAACAGCAGCCAGCCAGCCAAGAAAGCCAAAGTGGCCACCGAGGCAAAGCAGCCATTGCAGAAGCGTCAGCGTTCCAACAAGGCGTCCTTCCAAAAGCTGAATGGGGTCTCCAAAGGGGCAGAATCGGAACTGTGCACTGTACCTTCCATCACGAAGGTCCAAGCGTCCTCCAGGCTCCAGGGCAGCAGTAAGCTCCCTGGAAAAGCTGATGTGACCAGGGAACCAAAGATGACTGGGAAGCTAAAGAAATTGCGTTTCTCCAAGAAAGCGGCTTCCCCGAGACAGTCTGCTCTGTTCAAGGGCAGGGACACAGGAACACCTGCTGTGCAGCCCCTCTCCGAGACTCAGGCCACCCCCAGGCTGAAGGACCGTGGTCAGACCCTGGGGAAGGCCAAAGGGGCTGGGAAGGCGAAACAGCAGTTCCCAGAGGAGCCTGGGAAGAAAGCCAAATTCCAGGACAGTGGCACTCCCGAGGGCCCTCAGGTCCCCACTCAGGTCCCGACTGTGACCCCGCGCAGGTCCGGCCGGCCCCCACCAGCGAAGAGGAGGAAGGGCGCCAGCCAGCAGCTGTTCTAGGCGGTGAAAACTGGCCTGGGCTGGCTCACTGTCACAGTCGGGATCCTTCCTTCCTTCCCCCGTGCCTCACATGAGATTTGATACCTTATCACCCCGCTCATTGTGTTCTTTAAGGGGACTGGGTGCTGGCCGCGGGTGGGAAGGTGGGGCGCGGTCCCCGGAGAGGGAGGGAACGGTGGGCTTGACCACGATGGGAGGCCAGTTCCAGGCTCCTGCCAACCGAAGCTTGGCCTCGGGAGCTGAGGTGTGGGGGCAGAGCTGGGTGTTTGGCGAGAGCAGGGCGATAGGGTACAGACGACAGGCCGGACTTCCTGCCCCGGGAACCCACGGGGTACCGGAGGGTCGGGTTTTGGGTCCCCTAGCCGGAGAGCCAGGCAGGCCCCGACCCGGAAGGGCCTCAGACCTAGGTCTAGGGCTCAGCCTCCGGTGTGGGCCTCTCATTGGCTCTCTTTCAGCCCGCCTCCTGACCTCTGCCCCCTCCCCGGGCCCTTTGATTGGTCATCCGGGTCCCACGGACGCCTCATTGGCTCTTCTCGCTCGCCATCCTTCCTGGCTCAAGCGCCGGGCTCCATCTCCCGACAGAAGGCGCAGCTATGAATCCGTTATTCGGCCCCAACCTCTTCCTCCTACAGCAGGAGCAGCAGGGCTTGGCCGGGCCTCTGGGGGGCGACCCCTTTCCCGGGGGCGGGGACTTGCCCCCGGCGCCGCTCGCGCCCGCCGGCCCCGCTGCTTTCTCGCCGCCCGGGCCCGGCCCCGCGCCCCCCGCCGCCATGGCGCTGCGAAACGACCTGGGCTCCAACATCAGCGTGCTCAAGACGCTGAACCTGCGCTTCCGCTGCTTCCTGGCCAAGGTGCACGAGCTGGAGCGCCGGAACCGGCTGCTGGAGAAGCAGCTGCAGCAGGCGCTGGAGGAGGGTAAGCAGGGCCGGCGGGGCTCTGCGCGCCGAGACCAGGCTGTGCAGACCGGCTTCGTCAGCCCGGTGCGGCCGCTGGGGCTGGCGCTGGGTGCGCGGCCGGCCGCCGTCTGCCCCCCGGCACGCTCCCCGGCCTGCCCCGCGCCGCCCTCCGCCGCCTCGGCCTCCTCCTTCTCGTCGTCGGGCCGCTTCATGCCCGGCACCATCTGGTCCTTCTCGCACTCCCGCCGGCTCGGGCCAGGACTGGAGCCCACGCTGGTGCAGGGGCCCGGCCTGTCGTGGGTGCACCCTGACGGGGTGGGCGTCCAGATCGACACTATCACTCCCGAGATCCGCGCGCTCTACAACGTGCTGGCCAAAGTAAAGCGGGAGCGGGACGAGTACAAGCGGAGGTAGGGCCCGGGAAGTGGGGGCCGGGGCGCAGCGACACGCCACGCACAGCGGGGCGGGAGGTGTGGGGGCCCGAATGAGGGCGGACAGGACACCAATGTGCCCGCTGTGTGACCAGGGGCCTGGCAGGACCAGGATACGGGGAGCCCGGGGTCCACGGAGAATGCAGAAGTCAGACTCGTGACAGGAGCATGTAGGAGCAGAACACTGGGGAATTCAGTCTTTTCTGGCTCCCTGCCTCCTGCAGTGTTCAGGCGACTGTGTTAACGGGAGTGGGGGGGTGGTAAGGAGTGAAAGGGCTGGGCGTCTGGGATACTGATTGCCCTACCAGTCTCAGCTCTTGGGGCAATTTTAGGATGTAAGCTCCATACACGGATCTAAAGTAAGCAAACGATACAGCTACATTTTGGAAAACTAAGTGAAGTGAAACTGGGAGGGGCCCTGGGTGGTCTGTCCCTACCCAGGCTTTCCCCAGGGTGCTCTTGGTTCGTGTGAGAGGCTCTGGGACCTCGAGGCATTGGGGTAAGTGAGAAAAATGAGAAAAGACAGTGAAGGGAATTCACTGGGGCAAAGGGACGGGACTGTCCTGGGGCTGCTGGGGGACTCTGGCCAACGGAGCATGAACAGAGCCAGCAGAGAGGGCCTGAGGAGAAAAAGTTGGGAACATGGACACACCTGGCAACCGTGAGACAGCTCAGGGCAGGTCCTGTGTGCTCTGAGGGTGATTTGCCTTCTGGGAAAAACCCTGCCCCAGTGGGGCAGCACTAGGGGCAGGAGGAAGAGATGAGGTACCACAGTGCCAGCTGTTTACCAAGCAGGGCCCTAGGTGCTTGGTAACCAGGCCGGTACACAGGAGCTCGGGCAGAGCCAGCAGTTTACAGACTGACCAGGGCCATGGTGGAGGGGAAGAGATGACTGGGAAGGAGGCTGGAGCATCTTGGCTGCCGTCACCCGTGGTGGGCACCTGGGACTACCTTTGCAGCTCAGTAGCAGGGGTCAGCGTCCGGTTTAGCAGTGGGCAAGGCCCAGTTGGATGTTCTGGGAAGCTGCCACCTTATCTGGGGGCGACCTTGAAGGATCCGTAACTGGAGTCCTCGGGCTGGCTTCCTGAGGCAGGGTCCCGTGTTGGTTGACCTTGAGGGTTTCACTTGTCCTGAAACCATCATGCAGGTGCCACCCGGAGCCAGCCTGCCCCTGCAGGAGCTCACCAACAGTCAGCAGAACACAGACGGTTCTGGAATATGTCCATAGCCACAGGAACAACTGCTCCCTTTTATTTTTTTTAAGTGAAAGAGTGTTTGTCCTTGGTCCAGCTGTCCAGGGCAGCAGGCTTACTCCTTGGGGACTGATTAGCTCATCGCTCTGCAGCACGCGGCTGTGCAGAGGGCCCTGTGCTAGAGCCGTATGGTACGTGACATGGCCACACTCATTCTTCCACCCCAGATCCCTTGCCCTCCTCCTGGGCTCTTTATAGCAACACTGCATCTCCTGTTGTTGGCCTGGAAGTACTGGGGAAGGCTTGATGTTAAAGTGGGAAGGAGCTGAGGCCTTCTGGGTTCTATTTTCAGCCCCCCTGCTTTGTGTGACCTTTTTCTCTCTCCAGTTTGAGGATATACAATAGTTTATTTGCAAGGGGGCTGTTTGGTAAATTCAGTATCTACAGAAGTTGCTCAGATTCTTCCCATATTAAGGACAGCTGGTACAAGAGATGAGACCTGAGTGGAAGTCAGGTGTGAAAGTCTGGCTGGAGAGCAAAGAGAACCCTAGTGAGCTTCCAGCAGATTCATTTTCAGACTTGTGTGTCCTGTGTGTGCTCACTGTCTTCTTTAGTTTAAATTCCCTCCTCAGGTTTCCACCAAATCTGTGGAGTTTGCTGTCAGCGATTCTTCCTGACCACCGTCAGGGTTATTGGCCCCTCTTCAGTCTTGCTGGCTTCCACCAGGCCCTCGAGGACTCCAGGCATAGAAGGGACCATGTCCCATGCCTTCGTGTTGCAGACAAAGAAGCAAAGGCCCGGGAGAGATGAGGGTCGTCTAGGGACACACGTACCCTGCGGCCACTACAGCCCTCGGTGCTGGAGCAAAAGAAGGCGCAGAGGCTGCAGGGAAGGCAGGGAGCTAGGCTGCTGGGAGCCTGTGCAGCCCGAGTGGGCGGGCCCTGAGGCGAGGCCAGAGCTATTATTAGGAGCACTGCAGTGCGGCTGTGCATGAGGCCAGGCATATGGGAGAGCAAGGAGACCGGGAGGGGAACGGAACAGTGGTGGGAAGGGGCAAAGAGGGCCCCACCCCGCCCCAGAGGCTCTTTCCTGGGATGTCTGTGTCCTAGCCTCCTAGCTGTCCTCTTTGCCACTCCCTCTCCTGCTCCCCCATGGAGGCTTCTCACAGTGCAGGTCCCCTCCTTTCTCTGACCAAGAAGCCTCTCGAGTGTGGTGAGAAGGGCTGAGCTTGTGTGAACCAGGTCTGAGATGCGCTGCTAGACCAGCCCACCTGGGTCCTGACCTGACAGAGCCAGGCCCCGACCTCTCCTCCCTGCCCCAGCCGGCCCCCCTCCCAGGGGAGCAAGAGTCTCCTGCCACCCTAGTCTCTGGATTCTGAAAGGCAGGAGGAGCCGCCCACCTGGCTCTCACTGGGCAGGTTAGCTTAGTTTAGTGAGGTGCTGCCATGCTCCCATCCCTCCTCTGGTCGGGCTGCTGAGTAACCCCGGCTCCTGATGGGCACTGCCTTCCCAGGCCAGGCCTGCCACCTCCTGAGGCTCACTTCCGGGGGCTCCGGGTAGGACTGTGAGTGTTTCCCCCAGGTTCCTGAGCAGCCCTGGTGACCTGGCCTGTGTCCTGCAGATGCTTTTACAGGGTTAAATGTTCCCCAGGAGGCAGGGCAGCGGGCTACACGAGCTCTGTTCTGTGCGGGCAGGAGGCGGGAGACCGGATCTGTGCGCTGAAGGTGGGAGACTGGGCCAGGTGGGCCTGGCGGTCTGGTGCGGGCAGGAGGTGGGCAGTGCAGCTGTGCAGATAGCTGGCGGAGCTGGGTCCTGGCAGGGGTGGGCACGGAGAAGGCCAGGGTGGCCACAGTTGCTCTTAAATATGGCTTCTGGTGCATGGCCCAGAGGTTCCCAGAAGGCAGCTGTGAGCTTGGCCCTTGCCAGGAAGCATGGAGCCTCCAACAGCTGCAGCTGGCTACCCACCAGCTGGCCACATGTCCCCGCTGGGGTCAGGCAGCAGTGGGGGCCAGAGGGTCACCGGGCCATGCTCTCTTCTTCCTGCTGTTTGTCAGGTGGGAAGAGGAATACACGGTGCGGATCCAGCTGCAGGAGCGCGTGAACGAGCTCCAGGAGGTGAGGGTGGCCGCCACTGCCCCTGCTCCCTGCCCCTCCTCACGCCCTGATGTCGGCCCCCTCCTGCCCACAGGAAGCCCAAGAGGCTGATGCCTGCCAAGAGGAGCTGGCCATGAAGGTGGAGCAGCTGAAAGCCGAGCTGGTGGTCTTCAAGGGGCTCATGAGCAATGTGAGTCCAGCTCTGTCCCGGCTGTCCTGTCTGCCTTCCCCTCACTTTGCTGTCCCTCTAGTGGTTTCTCCCATGCCACCCTCCAGCTCAGGACAAAAAGGAGCAAAAGCCTGTATTGTGTCACAGGGTTGGCGTAGCCTCATCCCTGGCGTCCCTGGCCCCTGCTTTGAAGTGTTAGTATGCAGCTCAGTGCAGCTGCCCGACCCCCACCTCTGAAGCTTGTTAGCGATGGCTCTGGGCCAGCTCCTTCCCCGCCGTGGTGCAAGGCCGCCCTGTGTTCTCTCTTATGCATCGGGGAAGTAAAGGCAGATACTTTCCCGGGTTATTGTGAGGGCGGAAATGCACATGGGGCGGGGCCTGACACATGTGCTTAGAACTAATGAGCAGGAGGTGTCATCATTACTCGGGTTCTTTCTCCACTCTGCAGTGCCCAGGGTCTCCTTTCTCTGGGGACTAAAGTTCCAGGAGAGTCAGGACTGTTGGTCCAGGTCCCCTGCCTGCCCCGGGCTCTGGGCCACATTCTCTGGAGTGTTCCTCTGGCAGGGACCCTGCGGAGGGTCCCCAGGAAAAGAGATTTCTTTCTTTGTTTTCTTTTCTTTTATTGGTACCAGGGTTCAAACTCGGGTCCTTGTGCTTGCACAGCAGGTGGCGAAACCACTGGGCTAAATCCCTGGCTCTCTTTTCTTTTTTTTGCTTTGTGAGACAAGGTCTTGCTATGATGTTCAGGCTGCCCTTGAACTTAGGGCAATCCTCCTACCTCAGCTGCCTGTGTGCTGTTTTTCAGGCCTGGGCCACCACGTGTGCTTGGGAAAAGGGAGCCAGGGACGTCGGCGGGGTGGGGGGGAGGGAAGTGGCGGGTATGATGGGAAGGGTGAGGACCTGGCCAAGGGCGTAGTAGGCCCAGGTGGGGGTACTGGGCCTCTCCTAACTTTCCCTGTGCTCCTTGGGCAGAACCTGTCAGAGCTGGACACCAAGATCCAGGAGAAGGCCATGAAGGTGGACATGGACATCTGCCGCCGCATCGACATCACTGCCAAGCTGTGTGACCTGGCTCAGCAGCGCAACTGTGAGGACATGATCCAGATGTTCCAGGTGCGAGGCTGGCTGCCCTCACTCTGGGCAGGGCTGGGGCAGGTGGCGAAGCTTCCATCAGGGCCCATCTCGGGGGTCTCGGGGCCCTGGGGCCCCAGTGGGACTCGGCTGGGGGGCAGAGAGCAGCTCAGGAGAGAAGTTTGGAAGCCGTTTCTAATGCTGTCTCCCCTCCCTCTCTCTCTCCTGTCTGCTTCTCTTTTCCTCTCATCTTTCTTGCTTTTTCCATAGAAGAAGCTGGTTAGTTTGATCTCACGAAAGCTTATCAGTGTCCCGCCCAGGCTCTGAGCCGCTCTGTTGGGCCACTCTTCAGCAGATGCCCTCTTTCTGTGTCTCTTGCTCTTCTCCCGTTTTCAGTCTCCCCTCACTGCATTTCTTCCTCGCCCTTCTCCCATTGGCCGTCTAGATCTGGGTGCGACTGAAATTCTCTGTAAACACCAGGTCCTCAGCCTCTGCAGCCTCTGATTTAGTTCTTTTAGAGAAGACAGTTCCTCTTTAGCCGGCAGGCGCCTCTTAATGTGGTCAGGTGGGCTGCCCCTCCTGCAGCTTGCTGCTCTCCCCCCCCCCCCCCCCCGGCCTCCTCTTCCTCTTCCTCCTCAGGCTGCAGCCCTGCCCCATCTGTGTGTATCTGCCTGTCTCTGGTGACTCTGCCGTGTCTGTTCCTGTCCTCGTGACTGTGTCTTCTCTGTCTGTCCCCGGCCTCCCGCCCCAGCCTCCCGCCCTGGCCTCCCGCCCCGGCCTCGTCTCTGTAGCCTCTGCACTTGTCTCCCATCAAGGTCCCATCCATGGGGGGGCGGAAGCGGGAGCGCAAGGCTGCTGTGGAGGAGGACACCTCGGTGTTGGTGTCGGAGAGTGAGGGGCCCTGCCAGCCCGATGGGGAGGAGGAGGAGAGCACGGCCCTGAGCATCAATGAGGAGATGCAGCGCATGCTGAACCATCTGTGAGTCCCTCAGGCCCGCCCCCAGGCCCAGGCCCAGGCCCAGGCCCAGGCCGGCTCTGCAGCACAGCCCGCCAACTCAGGGTTCCCTGCCTGTCTCTAGGAGGGAGTATGATTTTGAGGACGACTGTGACAGCCTGACTTGGGAGGAGACTGAGGAGACCCTGCTGCTGTGGGAGGATTTCTCGGGCTATGCCCTGGCGGCAGCAGAGGCCCAGGGAGAGGTAACCGCCCCTCCCGCCTCAGGCTCAGCTCTGTCTCTGCTGGCCACCCGCCCGCTCGCTCGGTCTGTCTTGCTCTGACTCGCTCTGTCTCCCTGTGTGGCTTCCCCCTGCTCCCTCTGTGTCTCCCTCCTCCCTCTGTCCTTTCCTGCTCCTCCGCAGCCTCCTCCGACCCGACCTCTCTCCCTCTTCTCCAGCAGCAGGAAGACAGCCTGGAGAAGGTGATCAAAGACACCGAGTCCCTGTTCAAAACCCGGGAGAAGGAGTATCAGGAAACCATCGACCAGATAGAGGTGAGGTGTGTGCTGATGCCAAGGGCACCAGCCGGCTCAAGGGGTGGGCTCCTGCCCTTTCTGTCACTGTGCACTCCCCGTGGGTCCTAGAGACCTTGGGCTCTGGAGGCAGAGGGACGTGGATTCGAGTCTCAGCTCTGTCGCTTGTTCTCTCCAAGCCTGTAGCTTTATTGTCAAGTGGGGGTCTGAGTGGTCCCCCCACTCCCAGGGCATTGGGAAGATTAGATGGAGTGGTACCTGTGTGATGCCAGCAGCACTGTGGCACCCAGACGTGGCGTTCCTGGCTGTGGGGCGCCCTCGGGTATGCAGATGCAGGGGCCTGGGCGGAGCGCTGGGTGCGACTGAGTGTCCTGCCCTGGGTGAGGTGGCCTCACAGGGATGCTGCTGTAGGGCCAAGCAGACTTCTGCCTTGTGGGCTCTGATCCCTGCCGTGTCCACGCTGCTGCATCTGGAGAGGGAGGCTGAGCAATTCTTGGCCCATATTTTCATTCCCCCAGCACGAATCAGACGGTCCTGCTCCTCTAAGCAAAGCTGAGTTTTAGTTTTTGGCCCAGGCAAACAAACGCTAAGTTTCAGAGGCACAGCCAGCGCTCTGTTCCAGCTAAGGCCGCGGTGGGAAGAACTGATCTCGCTGTCCTCTGCCCCTGTCTCACTGTGTCCTCCCCTCCCTCCCTCCCTGCCTCTGAGCTGCGCCCACCTGTTTTCCGTGGGGGACTTGAGGTTCCGTGTCCTCACTCTGCCTTCAGCTTCCCAGGGACCAAGTGATCTGGGGCCGCATCTCTGGCTCAAAAGCATGGCCTGGCATGGTGCCACATGCCTTTGATTTCTGCACTCTGGGAGGCTGAGGCAGGAGGATCACAAGTTGAAGCCCAGCCTGGGCAGCTTAGTGACTTTCAGAGACCCTGTCTCAGAGATGGAAAGGTTCAGGGATGCTGCTCCAAGCAGAGTCCCCTGGGTCAGTCTCTAGCCCCGCCCCACGGAGATCTGGTGAGAAAACATCCCTTTCCCTTTGAAGCTGTTCTGAGCTGCCTGACCCCCAGGATGAGGTGAGGGGCAGGCTTGGGCGGCGGGCTGGGTGCCCTCGGGGTCCTTCACTTGTGACCCTTGACCTCAGGGTCCCTGAGCCGTAGGGGACGAGGAGCCCCACTAGTGGATGGTGAGCTGAGGCCCCTCCACACCCTGCCCAAGTCTGGAGTCTTCTAGGTGTTGAGGTTGCCTCCTGACCTGTGTCATCCTTGTACCCTATCCCTGCCTTAAGGGTGTGAGTTAGAGGGACTTACTCCTAGGTAGAGACCAGCCGTGCATTTAATTTATTTATTTTTTAGTTCTTTTATTGGTACATTTTAGGTATACAATTCGTTTATATTTTGCTTGTACCTGTACATGATGTATCTTGGTTCTTATTTTATTTTTGTTTTTGTTTTTGTTTTTGGTACTGGGGATCAAACTCGGGTCCTTGCACTTGTGTAGCAGGTGTCGAAACCACTGAGCTAAATCCCCGGCCCTTGGTTCTTATTTTTTTCCCCATTACCTGTGCACCCTTCACCCCCTCCACCCTTCCCTATTTACATAGATTTCATTTCTATTTTTTTTCTTTTCTTATAGTTTTTCCTTTCCGTCTTTTCCTTTCCCCTTTCCCTCCCTTCACTCCTTCGTCTTTGGACCTTTTTTCCTATTTCAAATTATCAGTTATTCATTTTTATCATTTTTAATCCTTGTTTACACTCATTTATTTTTTATAGCACTGGGGATGTAACCCACAGGTGTTCTACCACTGAGCTGCATCTTCAGCCCTTTTTTATTTGGAAACAGGGTCTGGCTGAGTTGTCCAGGTGGGACTTGAATTTGTGATCCTCCTGCCTCAGCCTCCCTTGTAGGTGGGATGATGGTCATGCACCTCTGTGCTGGTTTAGCCCTGTATTTTGATGGAATGTTTTTGCTCTCCTTCCTTCTTCTCTGCCCCCAAAATGCTGGTCTGCAGTCCCTTCCGCTGTGCTGTCCTTGAAGAGGAGAAGCCGGGAAGGTGGGATGGGGTAGCCGGTCTGAGCGGCGGCTGCAGTGTCCCCGACACAGTGCGGACACAGTGGGGTCGCACCTTGCCCCTCCCTTCGCGCTGTGCTCTGTGGGGTGCCCTGTGACCCATCTCATTCTCCTCCTGGTTCCCTGGCCTCTCCCACCAGCCCCGATTGGTGCTGGGGGCTCCCTTGCCACCTCCTTCCCTTCCTTCCCTGCCCAGCCCCTTGGGCAGTTTGGTTCCAGAGCAGCCAGGATCACAGGCCGTGCATCACACGCTTGGCTGATCCAGCCAGCCAGACTTCCCTGCTGCTGTGGCCTCCGAGCCCTGCCCAAGGGCCACTGAGTTAGGCCCGGAGGGCTCAGACCAGCCCTGGGGGTAGTGGGGGGCCAGGGGCCAGCACGTTTGGGAGTCAGGGGTCTCCGAGGAGGCCCTTGAGGTGGAGGCCCATGAGGTGGAGCGGTTCGCCGCTCTGTCTGCCCAGCTGCTGTTCTTTCTTCCCTCCCTCCGGGGTCTGCTGTGTAGATGGCTTCCTGGGAGACGGAGAGGGACGGCAGTGTGCGCAGGACTGAGCCCTGCCTAGTGTGCATGGAGCCCCAGTTCCATCCCCAGTACAGAAAGAAAAGAAAAGAGAGAAAAGGAAACATTTCCCAGGAAAGCCAGAGACATATCTGGTGCTTTCTGCTTCTGATTAGGTTGACTGCTTTTTTGTAGCACTAGGGGTTGAACCCAGAGCCTTTACACAAGTTACACCCTCAGCCCTTTTTTTATTTTTTATTTTGAGATAGGGTCTAAGCGGCTGGGCTCAAACTTGCCATCCTCCTGCCCCAGCCTCCCAGAGTTCTGGGATTACTGACGTGTGCCGTGACCCCTGACTTTGATTTCTGTTTGAGTCTTTCACTTATGGCCAGCCTTTGGGCTTGGTGTCAGGTCAGCGTAGGGTCGGCTCAGGGGTATAGAGGCGCTGCTGCTGCTCTCACCCAGGCCTGCTAACCGGGCGGCTTCCCTGCCCTGCTGCAGCTGGAGCTGGCCACGGCCAAGAACGACATGAACCGGCACCTGCACGAGTACATGGAGATGTGCAGCATGAAGCGGGGCCTGGATGTGCAGATGGAGACCTGCCGCCGGCTCATCACACAGTCCGGCGACCGGTAAGGCTCTGCCCCGCCAGGAGGGAGAGGAGCAGAGGGCTGGGGCCAGCCAGGCGGGACGGGCTGCGCATGCCTGCCCAGACCAGCCCTGGGCAGCTGGATGGCTGGAGGCAGGCCACCTGAAGAGGCAAGGGTCAGACGGGCAGGTTTTCCTCAAGTCGGGGTGGGCCGTGCCTTTGCGTTTGAATACTGGGTAGCTTACACCTCAAAGGAAGAGTGCAAACAGCTGGGCATGCTGGTGTCTATGGTCCTAGACACTCAGGCGGCTGAGACAGGAAGATCGCTGCAGTGCAGGAGTTCAAGGCTAGCCTGGGCGGCATAGTGAGACCCGTCTCAAAACAGAAGAAAGTACAGAGGGAGATAAAGCCGGGCCCCAGTCAGTGTGATCCTCACGCCCGGCAGTCTCACGCAGTCTCACTCTGTGATTCAGATATTCCTGACCCTCAGAGCCTGCAGTATAGACAGGCACTGCTTCCCCCAGCAGGGAGCAGGACTCCTCTCTGTCCCAACTTCCGGCCCGCCCCCAGAGTATGAGCCCTTGGCCCCAAGGTGACAACTTTGTTTTTCTAGAAAGTCTCCTGCTTTCACTTCGGTCCCGCCTAGTGACCCACCGCCGCCAAGCGAAACTGAGGACTCCGATCGCGATGTTGCATCTGACAGCTCCATGAGATAAGGCCCAACCCCAGCGGGGCCTCCTGACACCTCACCCGCTGGCTGCCATACCCTGCAAGGCTGGGGTCTCTGAAGGGACTGTCAGTCATTTGTACCCAAGCTGGGCCTGGGCCTGGGGCTTCTCCCTCCCTCCCTTTCACCCTGAGGCCTCCCCAGGGTTACGAGGCTGGAGCTAGGCCTGGCCCACCCTTCCTGGGCCCTGGGCAGCTCCTGCTTGCGTGAGGGTCTGCTACTTCTGTCTCTAACGCGGCCACGCTGGTGGCCCCCGCCATCCCCATCGTGTGATGAACATGCCCTAGCTCCTGCCCACACCGGGATCTAGAGCCCGCTGTCTGGTTTTGCTTTGGTGCAAAGTGGCCCAGGCACTGCTCCCTAAAGGCTCCTTCCTGGAGGGAGGGACGGACAGGCCAGATGCCCACAGCCAACCCCCACCTGTGGCCCTTCGGTCTGGGAGGGACCTTACAGCCCAGAGTGAGTGCTCAGGGTGTTTCAGGTGTCAGCTGAAGTCATATCTCAGTCACCAGCCCCACAGGCTGTGCTGTCCTTGCGTGGACAAGCTTGGAGCTCCGTCTGCCTCAGCATGCGTCAGTCTGGGAGGCTGTGGTGAACTGTCTGGAGTCTTTAATAATAATCACCGTGGCGAGTACTGAGCACTTTTGTGTTACTGTTTCAAGCACTTTCTGACACTTAACTAGAACATTAACTCGGAGGTGCCTAAGTGAAAAGCTAGGGCATAAAGAAATGACTTCGCGAAGCAGTGGTCCCTCAGGCCTCAGTTCCAAGCCCAGTTCCTCACCCCAGGGTGGGCACCCGAACAACAGCTGGGACCCACAGCTGGAAGAGATACAGTAACCTCAGCCAGCTGCCTGCAAGTCTGCCCAGCCAGTCCTGGGTCCCATTAACAGCTGAATTACAGAAGTAAACTCGCCCCAGACCCTGCACTCTGCCTCCCACCTCAGCTGCCATGTCGGTCAGCCAGCTCCCTGGCAGGCAGCCAGGTGAAGGTCCCACATTCGGTGACATGCACAGAGGAAGGCTGAACATGGCCGCTGAGTGCCAAGCAAGCCCACCAGCCCTGCTGCCTTCCACCCCCCCAAGCCAAACAGCAGGAGACAGCAGTGGGTGCAGCAGGCTTTATTGATGGTGTGATGAGCCGGGCTCTCTGGGGCTTCTGAGGCCTGGGATAGAAGCTGTGGGGAGATTCTCAGCGTGCTGGGGCTGGCTGAGTGGGGCAGGGGCTCCGCTGCGAGGCCTCTCCCTGCCACCTGGCTGGGGCAGTGGCTAGGGTGTTCACTCCTTGGAGGCCATGTGGACCATGAGGTCCACCACTCTGTTGCTATAGCCAAACTCATTGTCGTACCTGCAAGGTGACTGGGGTGTCAGAGGCCACTTCTCTGCACCAGCTTCCAGGTGCCAGAGCCCGCGCCACCCCAGCCACATACCAGGAAATGAGCTTGACAAAGTGGTCATTGAGGGCGATGCCAGCCCCTGCATCAAAGGTGGAAGAGTGGGTGTTGCTGTTGAAGTCGCAGGAGACAACCTGGGGAAGGGAGGGGGCTCAGTGTGGGAGGCCAGACCACTGCCGTGGGCTGTGTGGGTTTGAGCGTGGGTCCAAGGGGTACCTGGTCCTCGGTGTAGCCCAGGATGCCCTTCAGGGGGCCCTCTGACGCCTGCTTCACCACCTTCTTGATGTCGTCGTATTTGGCCTGAGAGGAAACCGAGGCAGCCACTCAGCACTCAGCTGCCTGTCACAGGCAAAGCCTCAGCCCACCAAGCCCGCCCAACGCACCGCTTTCTCCAGGCGGCAGGTCAGATCCACCACGGACACGTTGGGCGTGGGCACGCGGAAGGCCATACCGGTGAGCTTACTGCAGACATAGGGAGGCAGGTGTCAGCCACACCCCAGGGCCCTCTTCCGCCCCCCGCAGCAGGAGCAGCACCCTCACCCGTTCAGCTCCGGGATGACCTTGCCCACGGCCTTGGCTGCACCGGTGGACGCTGGGATGATGTTCTGGGCAGCCCCACGGCCGTCGCGCCACAGCTTCCCCGAGGGGCCGTCCACTGTCTTCTGGGTGGCGGTGATGGCGTGGACTGTGGTCTGGAAACGAGGAGGAGCTGAGGCCCTGCAGACACACCCTGCACCCAGGCCCAGAACAGGGACCGGAGCACAGTGGCCGCCGCTCCCACTTGGCACCTACCATGAGCCCCTCCACGATGCCGAAGTTGTCGTGGATGACCTTGGCCAGGGGTGCCAAGCAGTTGGTGGTGCAGCTAGCATTGCTGAAAGGAGGAGCAAGGGCAGGTCAGGGTGGCCCTGCCGTCCCCCTCGGTGTCCACTGGGCCCCCGCCCTCCCCAGGGCGCTCACCTGACAATCTTGAGGGAGTTGTCGTACTTCTCGTGGTTCACACCCATCACAAACATGGGGGCATCCGCGGATGGGGCAGAGATGATGACCCTTTTGGCTCCACCCTTCAGGTGAGCCTGTGGGAGGAGCTGCTCACAAACCTGCCCAAGGCTGTTCCCGGACAGGGATCCCACCCACCTCCACCTGGCTGCTCACCCCAGCCTTTTCCATGGTGGTGAACACGCCAGTGGACTCCACCACGTACTCGGCGCCAGCATCACCCCACTTGATGTTGGCGGGATCTCGCCTGCGAGGGGAAACAGAATGAAGCCTGTGTGGGGGACCTGTACCTAGGGGACCCTGCCCTAGACACCTCCCCCATGACACTCACTCCTGGAAGATGGAGATGGCCTTGCCGTTGATGACTAGCTTCCCGTTCTCAGCCTTCACGGTGCCCTGGAACTTGCCGTGGGTGGAGTCATACTGGAACATGTAGACCTGGGGCAGGGGGCAGGCGTCAAGATGCTGCCTCCGTGGGCGGGTGCCCCCATGGGGCAGGGTCCCCTACACTCACCATGTAGTTGAGGTCAATGAACGGGTCATTGATGGCCACGATATCCACCTTGCCAGAGTTGAAAGCAGCCCTGGTAACCAGGCGGCCAATGCGGCCAAATCTGAAGGACACAAGAGGTGACAAAGGGGTGAGGGTGGGCAGAGGGCTCTCGTGGGCAGTCTGTGAGCTGCAGTATCGCAGTGAGGCCCTTAGCTGAGGGATCCTCCTACAGAAACAGTTTTCCCTGGGTACCGGACAGAACCGACACTGAAATCCTGTATATGAGATGCCACCGCACACGTCTGATGTGGCACATCCTCCTGTAAGTTATCCCCAGATTGTTCCTAATGCCCAGACAATGCCTATGGATTATTTCATCTATGTGGACTCAATGTAATTGTTGAGAACTTTGTAGAATTTCTGCCCCTGAATATTTTTGATCCAGTTGGCTGAAATCAGAACTCTTGGATACAAGAACCAACTGTACTGAATCTTCCCACCTCTGCCAAGTCCTGCAGGGTTGAATTGATCTTCCTTGAAAAACCCCACTGGGTGGGCCAAACGCCTTTACTGGGGTTACAAAGGGAGAGTGCTTGCTTGTTGAAGAGGTAACCAGGCCCAAAGACGTCCCACCCCCAGCCGTCTCCAGAAGCGGCAAAGGGAGGCACACTGCCACAAAGCCTGGGAGGAAGCTTGGCACAAAGCGTGTCACCCCCACTCCCCGGGCTGGGAAATCTCGCTCTTCCTGGCCCAGCTCCATCCAGCTCACCCTTCTGGGCAACATGGACTTGTACACTCAGCATCGCTCAGCTCAAAGGGCAGGAGTAAAGGTCGGCTACCTGGACCGGTGAGCCCACCCCTTTTCCCGGTCCCTCCAAATATGAGCTGGTTTCCAAGCCCCTCATCTTTGGGGCTGTAATTTGCTGAATTACCGGTCCTTCCCGGCTCCAAATCAGGCCAGGGCCCCAGCCGCAGAAAGGTCGGCAGCTATATTTAACCTATTAGGGAGTGGGGAGATCTGGTTTCTGGAGAGGGGCAGAATTCCCCGGGCTCACAGACACCTAATCCTCACAGTGACCTTTACAGCCCGACCTTTAGGGATGGGAAGGGGCAGAGATGCGCCGCTGCAAGGGAAGGCGCTGCTGGCGCCGGAGCCATTTTGAGCTGTAAATTCTTTGCTAACCATGAGTCACCTCCCCCAGCTTGGCGAGGAGTCGCAGCCACACCTCTGCGGGTGGGCGGACAGGAGGCCCTGCACAAGGCGGCTGCCTTGATTCATCTGAGATCTAGAGAAGGGTCGCCACCGAGGGAGGGGCCAACGGGTCAGCTCGTCGGAGCACTAGAACCGGGAAGCCTTGCTTCAGCAGGTTTGCCGGTAGCGGAGGCTCCACCCTGCCGAGGGAGGGCCGGTCACAACAGGGGAAGAAGCTTTCCTAACGGAGGTTCATTCATTTCCTTCCCCGTTGCAACATGGCAGCCAGGTGCCCGCGGCGGGTCGCCAGGCGCCGCATGCTCACCCGCATCACGGCGGCAGGGTGGGGGAGGGGCTCCTCCCCGCACGTGACCCTCAGGGCGCGAAAGCAGAGAAAGAAGCGGGGATGGGCCTCAGGGATGGATCCCAGGCCAGCACTGGCCGCTCCCGTCCACCCGGGCGGGAGGCGCAGGGGTCAGGGAAGCTCGTCCCAAGGACGGCGGAGGGGCACGAGGCTGAGAGTGACCTTGGGTTCTCCTTGGGGTGGGGGAGGCAGTTCTCCGCGGGCCTGCACAACTCGGGCAGCCACACCCGCGGACGCAGTTCGGCTGCAGCCACTGCCCGGGCTCCGCCCCAGCCCGTCCTTCACTCACCCGTTCACTCCGACCTTCACCATCGTCTCAGGTCGCGGCTGCGGGAGGGAGATAAAGGTGAGCACCAGGCGGCCCCTCCCCGCCCTCCATACCCCCCCCGCGCGCCCCCTGGTATGTCCCGGGCCCGCCAGGTTGAAGCCTCCCTGGCCTGGCCAGACTCAGCCGCCGCACCGCCCGCCCGAACCCCCCCGAGCCTCCACCTCGCGCTGCACGGGAAGAGACGCGGACGCGCAGGAGCAAAGAGCGCTAGCGCAGGCTGCAGCGTCCCTTTATAGCGGCGCGGCGGGGCGGGGCAACGCGGCCCCGCCCCGGCCGCTGGTCCAGTCGCTGCCCTGCGCCGAGGCCTGAGCAACGTTCGCCCGCAGAGCCGCGTGGCCCCCCTTTCCCGAGGAGCACTCAGCGCGCGTGTGGGCCGGGGCAGAGGGGGAGGGGCCGGGGCAGAGGGGGAGGGGCCGGGGCGCTGGTTTCGAAGGAGACGGAGGGGGCGGAGCCGGCCTGCCCAGCCCCCACTCCCGGCCCGGGAGGGGCGCGGGGCCCTGCGGGGAGGGTCACGCTGTGCGGTGGCCGGCGGCCGAGCCCTGGTTAGCGGGGCGGACAGACCAGGCCCTTGGGCACCGCTGTTCCCACTGGCTGGCCTGAGGCTGGGGGGGGGGGGGGGGCGCGGACGTGCGGGCGGAAGTCCCACCCCGCGGGACGTGCGGGCCGACTGGGGAGCCAGGGACGCCATCCCCGCGCCTCCGCGCTGAGGATGGAGAGGCCCCGGCCATCCCAGGTGCAGGGCGGCGTCACCTGACACCAGCCCCTGCCTTCCCAGCAGAAAACCCCGTGGCTAAGTTCAGCTGGCCTGGCGTGGACCCTGCTGAGGTGCTGCGGCCCAGCCCCAGCCCCTCGGCGCCCCGGAGCCGAGCTGTGTCCACGTTTGGCAGCGGACCGCGCGGCCGGTGCGCAGGCTCTTCGGAGCTGGCCAAGCGAGCAGGCAGGGCCGAGGGCTGGGATGGCCAGCCGCAGTGCAGGCGGGGAGGGCGGCGGGAACGGCACCCCTTTCCCTGCCCAGGTACTTGGTGCCCCTCAAGGCACGATCCTGAGGCAGCGCCCTCCCCGAGCCCCCCCCCCCCCCCAGGAGGCCGCATCCCTGGCCGTGCGCGTTGTCAGGGCAGCAGAGGCGGCGGAGGTCCGGAGCGCAGGCTCGTGGCTTCCTGTTGTGACTCAGCAGACGGCCGGGATGGGATGGGAGCGGGACAGCGGCGCGGCGGGTGGAGACAGCTAGCCTCCTAGCATCCCGTGGAGCCGCTTCCTCCCCTTGCCCTCTTCTGTGTGCACAGGCACAGGTCAGGGAAGACACAGTCGGGGTTCCGAGCGCGCGGTGCTGCATGCACGCGAGGACTCTGAGCTGGCTGCCGGCTCCGGCTCCGGCTCCGGCTCCGCCTAACTCCTGTGAGCGGCTAACGGCAGAGGAAACAGGCAAGTGGAGACCGCATGCAAAAGTGCATAAAAACATTTATTCAGTAGACCGAGCAGACTGCAGGCCTATCCCCCAGCGAACGCAGTGGGCCTGCGTGAGAGCGCTGGCCGAGGGGCAAGGCCTCGCATGTTGGACATGCAGTACTAAAAACGGGACGGGCAGCCCAGGACTGCACAGGGGACAGAACTGGATTCCAGGTCACCCATGGGTGCGCAGCAGGGATGGAGCTGGCGAGCGGCTGCCTAGGGCCCGCGCCTGTGGGCTGAGGCCCTGCGGATGGGCGTTGTTTTCCGGGGCGTCTCCGTCATCTCGGCCCAGGGCTCTAGGGGCAGAATTGCAGGAGTAAGAAAAGCAGAGCCACATGGACAGCGACAGGCTGACCTAGGACAAGCGGGAGGGCAGCGCACCACACTCCTGCAGGGCGCACGCGGCTGCACCTACCTTCCTCGCTGGACTCGTCGCTGGAGAAGACGACCCTGGGCTGCTTCTTGGAGCTGCCTTGCAGAGTGGGTGGCAGCCGCCGGGTAGTGCGGCGGGGCCGGGGCGTAACAAAGTCGCTGTCTGAGGCTACGGAAGCTGCGGGCTGCCGCCCTGAGACTGGAAGAGGCAGGGAGCGGGATTAAAGAGGGCGCTGTGGCTGGAGCCCTTCCGCCATCCTGTGCCACCGCGGGCCGCACCTGTGCTGCGCGGCTTCCGGGCCGCGGCGGCGGCTCTCGGGCTGCCGGCCCCGCGCTCCTCGATGCTGATGCCGTCCAGCCCTCGCGTGTGACAGGCGCGCAGCTTCTGTTCAAACTCGTCCACCGCAGCCTGGAGGGAGAGCAGAGGAGAGGGGCCTGGAAACACTGTTACTTCTATGCTTGAAAAGATGTAGGGTCCAGTAGCTGGAGGCTCCTTGCTTGTGTTTTATTTTTCTTGGGAGACTGACGAGAAGCAAAAGGTCAGAGCTTTTCAACAACTTGTGCCAACAAATTTGATGGCCCAGAAGAAATGGGTAAATTCCTGGACACATACACCTTACGAAGACTGAATCATTAAAAAGCAGAAAACCTGAGCCAACCAATGAATAAATAATAGGAAGTCTCCAGTCAAAGCAAAGCCCAGCACCAGATGCCTTCACTGCTGAATTCCACAAAACATTTAAAGAATACCAGTTCTTCTGAAAAACTGAAAAGGAGGGAATTCTTCCAAACACATTCTCTGAGGCCGACATTACTCTGACACCAAAAACAAACAAAAAATATTACAAATAAAAAAAACTATGAGCCAGAGTTCTTGGTGAACATAGATATAAAAATCCTCAATGACGGGGCCGGGGATTTAGCTCAGTGGTTTCAACGCCTGCTGCACAAGCACAAAGATCCGAGTTCGATCCCTGGTACCAAAAAAAAAGAAAAATCCTCAATGAAACACTAACAAACTGAATCCCCATCACACATTAAGATTATTCACCACGACCAAGGGGGATTCATCCCAGTCTTGGATGGTTTCAACATACGTGAACCAAATCTGACGCATCACCATCACCAGAATGAGGGAATAAACTTAACCAAGAAGGTGAAAAATCTCTGTAATGAAAACTGCATAAAAGGATTAATGAAAGAAACCGAAGAGTTCACACATACAGAAAGACGTCCTGTGTTCATGGATTGGCAGAATCAATATTGTCAAAATGTCTGTATTGCACAAAGCAATCTACAGATACAGTGGAATCCCCATCAAAATACCAGGCACATTCTTCACAGAACTAGAAAAAGCAATCCTAAAATTTATATGGAACCACAAAAAATCCAAATAGCCAAAGCCATCTTGAACAACAACAGCAACAACAAAAACAAAGCAGGAAGCATTATACTACCTGACTTCAAAACATACTACAAAACTGTAGTAATCAAAACAGGGTGGTACTGGTATAAAAAAAGGTCCACAGACCAATGGAACAGAGTAGAGAGGCTAGGAATAAATCACACAAATACAAGCAACTGATTGTAACAAAGGTGCCAAGAACATGCATTTGAGAAAGGACAGTCTTTTCAATAAATGGTGCTGGGAATATAGGATATACACATGTAGGACAGTGAAACAGTATCTCTTACAGTTACAAAAACTGATTCAGTGAAGGGTCAACCTACAGAATAGAAAAAATAATTGCACACTATACATCTGGAAGCCAGGGCCTGCCTTGCAAGCACAAGGATCTGAGTTCAATTCCCCATACCAAAAAAAAAATAAACACTATACATCTGGAAGAGGATTATATCCCTTCATATATAAGAATTCTTTATATATGAAAAATGTTTTTAAAAACTCAATAGCTAGAGCTGGGGATGTAGCTCAGTGGTGCCATGCCTGCCAGGCAAGTAGAAGATCCGGAGTTCAATTCCCTGCACTAAAAAAACAAAACAAAAAAAACCCCTCCATAGCTGAAAACCAAAAAATTCAATATAAAAAGTGGACAAGAGGGCTGGGGATTTAGCTCAGTGGTTCCGTTGCCTGCCTTACAAGCGCAAGGATCTGAGTTCAATCCCTGGTACCAGAAAAAAAAAAAGAGACCTAAATAAAAACTTTTTTGGCTTTTTGAGATAGGGTATCACTCTGTAGTTCAGGTTGGCCCTGAACTCATTGTGTAGTTCATGCTGGCCTCCAACTTGAAGCAATCCTCCTGCCTCAGCTCCCCAAGTGCTGGAAGTACAGGAGTGTGCCACCATCCTGGGGTTAACTTTTCTTAAATGAATACATAAAAATGGTCACAGGTATTTGAAAAAGTGCTCAACCTAATTATGAGGGAAATGCAAACCAAAACCACAATGAGGTATAACCTCACTTTAGTAAGAATGGCTCTTATCAAAAGCACAAAAGATTACAAGTGCTGGTGAAGATGTGGAAAAAGGAAATGTCTGTATACTGTTGATGGTAATGTAAATTAGTACAGAGCCGGGGATTTTGCTCAGTGGTTTCGCCGCCTGCTGCACAAGCACAAGGACCAGAGTTCAATGCCCAGTACCAAAAAAGAAAAAAAAAAAAAAAAAAAAAAAATTAGTACAGCTGTATGGAAAACAGTATGGTGGGTCCTCAGAAAATTAAAAATAGAATTCCCATATGATCTAGCAATCCTACTACTGAATACATATTCAGTAGTATATCTATCTATCTATCTATCTATCTATCTATCTATCTATCTATCTATCTCCACAGGAAATAAAATCAGTCTGTTAAAGGACAGAAGGAAACAGGGTCATAACCCCCTTGGAGGACCTTAAATTTCCTGGTAAGCATGGGGGACAGAGGGTGTATGCTTGGCCCCTCTGGTACCTGGACAGTGAAGTTGGGCACCTACAGGAGCCCGGACGGCGTGGCCAGTGCCCTGTGTAGCTCACCTTGCCCTCGGGCTTGGCCCCGCGCCGCAGCTTGTTCACAGCAGACAGGAAGGCACCAAAGATGCACTCATCTGACAGTTTGTCTCCAAAGCAGTCGAAATTGTCGAGCATCTTGTGGAGGCCTCGCTCTGTGAGGGGCAGCTGCGACACGCAGAAGGCCAGGTCGCGGTGCTGCCGCTCGGTCCTGCAGTGGGCAAGGCTGCGTGAGGGGTGGTCCGCCTCCGTCCTGGGGATGTCACCCAGGGAGGAGCCGGGGCTTTCCCCACAGGTGCCCAGCCCAGCGACCCCACGTACCGGGCCGTGCGGAACCGCTGGCACAGCTTCTCCACCAGGCTCTCGTTCTGCTTGTCCTTGGTGATGTAGGCAAGGAGCTGCCTGCAGGGAGAGGCCAGCTGGGCTGGGCCGCCCCATGCCCTGGCCTCCCTGCATCCCAGCTGTCCTCCCTCAGCGGGAGAACACCTTTGGCCGGGCCCTGCACAACCTCTTGCAGACTGGGGAGAGCCCACCCATCATTTCTTCGTGCATGGAGGTTACCAAGAGCAGCTGCTTCTCAGCGCGCACCACCTAGAGCCCGCCAGCATGCTGGGAAGTTCTCTCTGATGTTCCCAGGGGCTGCGGGGCAGGTGTGCTAGGCCTCACCCCACAGAGGAGGAATCAGGCAGAGGCTGTCACTGTGAGGGTGGTAGAGCCAGCCTGGGGCGGGTTCAGTGGGGGTGCTGGGCAGGCACCAGGCCCTGGGCTCCCTCCCGGCATCTGCGCCGCAACAAACCAACAGCAGGACTGGGGCAGAGATGGGGCTGTCCGCCTCCCAGGAACCCTACTTCATGATGGTGTGGAAAGACTCCTCCTCCACCCCGCCCTCGGGGTCTGACAGGCGGCTGATGATGTCAGGAAGGAGATTGTAGACGGCGTTGCCCTGGGGGGAAGATGGAGTCAGGCCAGGCCAAGTGACCACAGACGCCCGCTGGATTGCCCAGACACCTCACCTTGTGGGAGAGCTCACTGAAGAAGTTCCTGGCCAGGGCGGCAATCTGAGGCTTGGGGTCGATGAGCAGCACGGCCATCTCGCTCACCTGGCCCTTGACCTTCACCATATCCTTCAGGATCAGGTGGGTCATCACCAGCCCCGCCGTCTTCCGCACATGCTGAGCTGGGTCCCGGAGGCTGGAGAGGAGATCCAAGCTGAGCCACACCGGACAACTGGGAGTAGGGCGCTGGGCAGGGGCCCCTGCAGGGTGCCTCTCTGGACACAGGTACAGTGCTGAGCAGGGAGAGATGACACTGCCTTTTCCGGGTAGCACCGTGCTGGGGCCTGTGCGGCTGCATCCCATGGATGCTGACAATCATGCCCAGACTGGAGTCTCCTGACTCCCACTGACCTCTGCCCCGGGGCAAGCGAGAGGTCCTCACCGAGCATACAGATGAGGGGTCCAGGGGTCCACCAGGTTGGGGAAGCGGATGGCCAGGTCCCCAGTGACAACCATGAGGTTGGAGCGCACTGTGGGCAGTGGTGACTTCTCCAGCATGGTGAACAGAAGACGAAGCTGGGAGTCGCAGAAAGTGGCACTAGAGGAAAGAAGAGGGTCATCAGGGAAGCTGTCGCCTCACCCGTGGGAGGCGGAGTTGGCCCAGGCCTACCTGATCATGCAGAACTTGCCGAGGGCAAGCGAGGCTGCCGCACAGAGCTCTGCATTGCTGTACAGGCCGGGGTTGTTGCAGACTTTGAGCAAAAGCGGGACAAAGGCCGCCAGGACCTGCTTGCCTGTTGGAAGGAGAACCCTGAGTCTGAGACAGTTACCTCGGTGGGGGCTCACGCAGCAGGGTTCAGAGCAGTTCCCTCACCATCCAGCAGCTCCAGCTCACAGATGCCGCGGATGAGCTCGGCCTCCGTGTCGTCCGCTGTGGCCCCGACCAGCCCCAGCTCTTCCTCCATGGTCTCGGAGGCCACGTTCTGAGGGAGAAGGCACAGGGCAGAGGCGACGCTGTTTGGCATGAACAGCTCTGAGGAATGGCAGTGTACAGACACATGCATAGAAGTGGCCAAAGGACCAAAGAGAGAAAGGAGTCTTCTGGGTGCACGTGTAACCCCAGCCGCACGGTAGCCTCAGGTAGGGTTCCAAGTTGGAACCCAGCATGTACAATGCAGTCAGACCCTGTCTCAGAATATAGGAAGGCCTGGGGATCTAGCTCAGCGATATAGCACAAGCCTACCCTGCACTAGGTCCTAGGCTTCATTCCCAGTACCACACACACAAATAGAATTCCTAAATAAAGCAGGAAATAACTAGGTTCCCTATATTTGCTTTTCAGTTGCCAAAGCAGGTATCTATTCCTCTTCTTTTTTTGTTCAGACTGACCTTGAACTCACTATGTAGCCCAGGCTGGTCTGGAACTTTTGGTGATCATCCTGCCTCAGCCTCCCAAGTGCTGGGATTACAGGGATGCACCGCCATGCCTGGCTCTATTCCTTTTAATTTGTCCTCAGAGGGCATAATATACCATACATGGTAGACCGCATCATGCTAGACAATGGCTCAGGGTCAACAGAGGGCCAGGCCTTAGCCACTGGGGCATGGCTGTCATCATGTCCCTGCAGGACATCTGCCTCTGGCCAGGTGCCCGCCAGTAGTAAAGTCTGATGGGAGGCAGGGGTGCATCCGCGTCTAACGCTGCCTTAGACAGCACCTGTGTCTTGTGTCTGTCTGGAGCTGCCTAGCTCTGCAGTCTGTTTCCCTAAACTCTCTCCCCCGGGTGAGCACGGACAGACTGTCCCATCCCAGCTCACATTGGTCAGCAGCGCATGTTCTGAGCTAGGTGCCTGGGACGTGGCCCTGCAGTGTGCCCCATGCACCTTCTCCTTGGGCTCCTTGGTCTTGTGCTCCTGCTCCTCCTGGAGAACTCGGCGCCGACAGAGCTCTCCGGTCACTGCCTGTTCCAGATGCACCAGCTGGTGCAGGGCCACGTCCCCGGCCAGTGACAGCAGGTGCATCAGGAAGAAAGTGGGGAGCATTGGGATGGTCTGCCCTGGGGAGGGGAGGCAGGAGGAGATGGGGTCAGTCCCCTCACGCTTGCCTACCTCCCTGCTCATGTGGCCCTCAAACTGGGGGGACTGGCTCAGGTTCACCTCAGACAGAGCTGAGGTGAGTGGCTGAAGGCTGTAGACAGTGCTGGTGGCTGCCCGCCCAGGCCTGGCCATCGGCCTCTGTCCACTCACTGGGGTCCTCCTGGCTGGAGTTCCTCTCCTCCAGCTTCTCCAGAGCCTGCCTGGCACAGCTCCGCAGCATCTGGGCACAGATCACCTCGGGGCCCTCTGCCAGCTGGTAGGTGAGGGTCACTGCCGCCTCCTTGAATGGGATCCAGAGTGGGTCCGGGTGGGCAAAGCCTACACAGGAGAAGGGAATTGCTCACACAGGGCAGGGCCCATGCTGCCCCAGGCCCTTCGGAGAGCGCACCTTCTGTCACCATCACCCGAAGTTGCTCAAACAGCCTGTGCTCCTGAGGCAGCCTGAAGGGGGGGTGGCGTTTGCCCAAGGAAGGCTGTGGAGAGAGAACAAGACAGTGTAAGCAGGGCGTGGTGGCGCACGCCTGTCACCCCAGCACTCTGGAGGCTGAGGTGGAAGGATCACCACGAGTTTGAGGCCAGCCTGGGCTGGCCGGTGACTGCCCCATCTACCTTTCTCCTGTCAGAGATGTTGGCGATGGCCTGGCACACCTGCTGCGCCAGCCTGTAGTCTGCTGGAGACTTCTTGTCCAGCCCTATGCTCACCAGCGTGTCTAAGTTGCTTCCCACAATTTCAGGTTTTCCTCTAGGGGAAGGAAGTGTGGAGTCAGGGAGAGACAGTGGCAATGTGGGGTTTCCTGTGCCTGGGATACCGTGCGAGGCCCCTCCACACGGCCAGCCCTGTGAGTCCTGCTTGCTCTCCTGAACCTGTTGCTACAAGGCAGGGGCTGCTGCTGCTCTTTTTATTCAGGCAGCCAATGCCAAGCAGAGCCCAGTGGGGGCTGGTTGCTTCTGTAAGGAGGAGGATGCTCTTAGACCCCCCACTGCCTGCTGGACCCGGGCCTCACCGCGCCAGCATGCCGAGGAGCATGACAGAGGAACAGCGCTCTGCAGGAGAGCAGGGGACCTTCTCGGTGGCCCGCTCCCACAGCAGCTGCGTCACTGCTGGTTTTAACTCATCCTTCCGAACAAACTCACAGAGCTGAGGAGAAAAGAAAAAGGGATCAGGCCCAAAAGAGTGTTCTCCCGTGGTCTACTTCTCCGAATGAGCAAAAGCAGCATTCAGGACAGAAAAGTTAGAAGAAAGCCCAACTGTAAGGCAGGGCCTCAGGGAGGGGCTTCTCTCTCTCTCTCCTTTAGATGTAGCCCAGGCTGGGCTTGAACTCAGGATCCTCCTGCTGCAGCTTCCTGAGAGCTGGGATTACAGGGATGCACCACCACACCCACTTTTTTCTTTTTGTGGCAGTGCTGGGGATATGACCTAGGGCCTCATGTCTGCTAGGCCAGCACTGTACCCCCAGGCTGCATCCAGCCCTCCATTCTCTAACTTTGTCCTTAAAACTACAGCTAAAGTGACACCACGACTGGCTTTTCTGAGCTCTGTGGCTCAGCACTAGACCACCCGGAAGTCTCGTGCTCAGAGATGCAGCTTTGGTCCTGCGGGTGCTGCGCTCACTACGAATGGTCTCTTTCTTTTTCTGTGTTTCAGGAGAAAAGGTTTATGTGACTCCTCGGCTGGCTCCGAGGCAGGGTGGCACAGCAGAGGGCTTGGGGCCAGGAAGTAGAGCTCTGCACTAGCTAGTTCACGCTGAGTTGGGTTAGGGGCTGGGCCTGGGTCAAGCGCAGTGGTACCTGGAGATGTGAGCTGGAAGGGTGTGCTCTGCTCTTATCCCTAGGGCTCCTCCCCTCTGCCCGCTTGGCTTCCTGGCCTCCACAGGGTGAGCAGTCCTCCACCCTGCCCTGCCTGCACTGGAGCCAGCAGCATGGGCTGAAACCCGAGAGGACCGAGCACACTTCCCCTTATGGTGCGGTGCAGCAACGGCACTAACACTCTTCATTACACACACTTAAACATTTCAGTCACCTCATTTTCCGCGGTTATGCCTCCAGGCCCCTGGCCTCAACTCCATGGAGTCACCTCCATAGCCTTTCTGTCCTGCCCCAGCTCCCCTCAGCCAGCTTGTATGCTGCTGCTCGGTCTCCCCAAATGTCTCCTTGGGTCACAGTGCTGACTGTCACTTTGAGCTCCTGACAGCCAGCCTGTGAGGCCTCACATCAGCTGCTTGGCCAGGCGGCCAGCCAGGGCCAGTGCAGGGCAGCGGTGCTCCTCCATGGAAGGTGGCTGTCAGCACACCCCACTGTTTGTCCCCACAGTGCAGACTCGCCAAGGGGACTTGCCTCACTGAAGCACTAGGGCTCTGCTTAGCAAGATTCCAGTCCCAGGCTCTCGGAGGCCTTCAGAAACCTCCACAATTCAGCGCCAACCTATATTCTTGACTCTGTTATCTTGTCCAGATAGTAACTGTGAGCCAGAACACAAACATCCTCATTCTGCAACGTGGGCTGTAGTCTTTTGTAGGTTTCTGCCTGAAGTACTTTGCCTCCTGTCAAACTCTCAGTCCTACTCATCTTCCAAGCCCGTGAGAAGTCCTAAGCTTTAGTGCCCTGGCCTATGCTACCTCAGACAGCTCTGCTCGGCCATGCACAGGTGAGTGTGTTCTCCTATGTCACTAAGTAGCTGTAAGCAGCTGAGCTCCTCGGCCTCTCCCTAAGGCCACAGACATTTTGGTGTGAAATGCACAGGACATGACCTTGACGGGGAGGTGAGGATTCAGGAAGTTAATGTAAGTGAAGTGAAGCGCTAAGAACAGTGCCGGCATGGATCAAACACCACGCATGCACATTATTATTACTACTGCTCCTGGCACTTAGTTACCTACATGCTCCATTTGTTCTAAAAATGTTTTGTGTTTTTGGCTACCACCTAGACTACTGGTTCTTTAAGGCTGGGAATCTGAAAGTCTTACACTTATGAGGCTGGGTAGATTACCACTTACACAATACATATGCTTGCTGAATGAATAAAGGAGAAAGTGAGAAGACTTACAATTTCCTCGAGACACTCAATGGTCCCAACCGAGGCGTCCACCAGCAACAAAGAGAGATTCTGAATCAAAGCCTGGGCCCTGGCCCTGTGGAACAGCAGAGAAGAGGGGACCTCGAGGGACAGGCAAGGTGAACTTGGCACAGCGAGGGGGTCAGTAGGTGCTCAGGCTGACAGGCTTCACGCAGGGAGACCACCCAGCCCCGTCCCAGCCCCGCTGCCGTGGAGTGGGAAGTCCTTGGGACAGTCAGGGAGGCAGTGGAACCCACTGACCTGGCCGAGTCCCCTCTGGGACTGAGGTAGAGCTGGCGGTAGGCATTCAGCACAGCTTCCCGGACACCTGGCTCCTTGGACCAGATGAGAGGCAGCATGCGACGCACCCCAACCAGAGCCTGGGGCACCCCGAACTGGAACACCATCACAAAGAACTCAATCACCTCCTGTACCACTGCGGGGACAGACATGTGTCACTCACCTGCCGAGCAGCAACTCCCACATCAGTCGGGGTTTCAGGAGGCCTTCTCACTGACCCTGTGAGTGCTGTGCCTCCTGGACTGGCTCATCAGGAAATTACGCGCCTTGGAATGCATAGGCGTGGCAGGGACTATGTGGAGCAGCGAGTACAGGGAGAGCGTAGACAGGGCAGGAGTGGCCCACGGCTGCCTACCCATGGTCGTGTTTTCATACATCATCTTGCTGATGATGCCAATGGCCTCCGTGATCTTCCGGGAGAAGCTGTGGGCATCCTGCAGGTACTGCACCAGCATCTCCTGCTTCAGCAGCTCGTCACCGTCCCTGGGCCCGGCAGGCGCGTCTGACCCCACGGCCTGTCCTGGGACTGTGCTCCCACTGTGGCCCTGAGTGGAAGCTGCCGGGCCTGGAGTTGGAGCACAGGGGAGTTTTGCTGAAGGGTATACTGGGGAACCCGGTGGCTATCAACGAGCTTGGTTATTTCTATCTAAAACTGTGGAAGTAGGAAATTAGAACCTATCCTAAAATATCTTGGTTCATTCCTCAAAAAAGATTCCTGGAGATTCTCTCTTCAGGATGGCCACTGGCCAGGGCTGCTCCCATCCCAGAACAGGAGCATGCCCAGCCCATGCCTCCCTCAGTCTGGGCGGGCAGGAGGCGAAGCTCACTAAACATGGGCTGAAATGCTGCTGGTGGAGGAAGGAGGAGGATTACCTTTGAAGATGGTTCCTAAGAGGCTCAGGAGCCTGGTCTCCTCTGGCTGCTCTGGGTCTGTGTGCCTGAAGGGTGCAGACTCTGGGAAGTGGCCTATGGCTGCTCGAGCGACCCAGATGGCTTGCCTGAGGGAACAGCAGCCTGTCAGCAACACGGCAGCCAGAAGCGTCACTGCAGCCTTCATCAGCGCCCAAGTACCCCACAGAGGGGCATTCTCAGGCTTAGGCTGAGCACCCGCCGAGAAGAGGAGCTCAGAAGAGCCTACCACATCTCAAAAGCTTGACTAAGGTCTTCACCCGCGTTTACAGACCTGGCGGAGTCTAAGCTTGGAAACGAATACATTTTCAGTAACTGGTTACGTAGTGGCACATCCACACACTGGGATTCTGGTAGTTACAAAGCTATGAAAAGCACAGTAGCATAGCCCTATAATCCCAGCCCTCTGCAAGACTGAGGTGGATGAGTCCAGCTTGTGCAATTTAGCCATTTAGCAAGACCTTTTCCGAGAATAAAAAAGTCCAGAGATGTAGCTCAGTGTGAAAGCCCTTGGTTCAACACCTATTACCACAGGGTGGAAAGAAAAAAAAAAAGAAAAGGAAAGAAAAAAAAAATCCAAAAAACAAAAGAAAGAAGAAGCCAAGTATGCGGTGGCGCATGCCTGAAATCCTAGCACTCTGGCAGGCTGAGGCAAGAGGATCCCAAGTTCTAGTCCAATGTGGGCAATTTAGATCCTGCCTCCAAATAAAAAATAAAAAGGGCTGGGAATGTAGCTAAGTGCTAAGGCTCTGAGTTTACTCCCTGGGATCACAAAATAAACAAACAAAAAATAAAGGGCTGGGATGTAGCTCAAAGTGAAGGCCCTGGGTTCAATCCCTAATACTGAAAAGAATTTGCTGAGCATGCAGGAGACCTTTAGTTCCATCTCTGGCACCAAAAACAAAAAAAGAGGAGGAGAAAGGAACTTACATATAAATGTTAAAAAAAAAAAAAAAAAAATCTGGGACCTGTAATTAAGGGTGGTAGTGACAAGTGGGTAGAAAATTCTATTTGTGTAAAATGAGGGGAAAAAAAGCATATATGGAGCCGGGGATTTAGCTCAGTGGTTTCACCGCCAGCTGTGCAAGCCCAAGGACCCGAGTTTGATCCCCGGTACCAAAAAACAAAACAAAACAAAACCAAAGAAGCATGTATGTTTGCCTGTATGTTCATGTTCTCTTTAGAACAATGCAACAAGTTAGTGATATTGCTTCCCTGTGGGAAGGACTGAGTAGCTGGTAAACAGGTTTGGAAAAGGCCTCTTTCTTTCTTTCTGCAGTACTGAGGATTGAACCCAAGGCCTTTGAACTGAGTTATGTATCTCCAACCCTTTTTACATTTTTTATTTGAGACAGTCTTGCTAAGTTTCCCAGGCTGGTCTTGAACCTGTGATCCTCCTGCCTTAACTTCCCAGAGTGCTGGGATTACAGACATGCACCACCACGCACAGCTACTTTGCATTTTTGAACATCATGACTAGGTGAGAATTAAGTGCTATGTGGCTCAAGTTTATTATTAAATCTTTTTTTGGTACCGGTGATCAAACTCGGGACCTTGCACTTTCGAGGCAGGCAGTGGAACCACTGAGCTAAATCCCTGGCTGGCTGAAGTTTAAAAGCACCTGCTGACAGCTGGGCATGACAGTGCATGCCTATAATCTCAGTACTCGGGAGGCTAAAGCAGGAGGATCATCACAAGTTCAAGGCCAGCCTGGGATACACAGTGAATTCAAGGCCAGTCTAAACTACAAAGTGAGTCCCTGTCTCAAAAAACAAAACAAAACCAAAGTAAAATAAAAGCATACCCATTGGTAGGTATAAAGGGCTTTTGTTGCTAAGCTGCTCTGAAGTTCTAGTGCCACAAAAACACTGAGATAAATCTTTTCTCTAAGGTCAGGATTCCAACCACACTGATTTGCAGACTAAGGGATTAAGTACATCTGACATTATTTCTTAGCTCACAGAATTTAGAATTAAAAAGTCATTAGAGATAATATGAGATAATACGATCTGATCAGTTTCTTGCTTTAAAGATAACAAAACTAAACTAAGCACCTTACATGAAATTCTGCATCTAAAATTGTTTGTAAGGGCCGGGGATTTAGCTGAGTGGTTTGGCTGCCTGCTGCGCAAGCGCAAGGATGCGAGTTCAAACCCCGGTACCAAAAAAAATAATAAAATTGTTTGCATGTGCTTGTTTCTGTGAAGCAGAAAAGCATATGAAATGCGGCCTTCACCACAGTGGAAAGGCTGTCGCCAGGGGCAGCGCGCCTCAGCAGTTCCTTCTAGAGAAGCAGGAGACTTAGACAAGGCCCGCAGAGGTTAGGTCTAACTGCAAGCATCACTGCTGAGCATCCCGTTCTTCCCGTACTTGTATCTAGCTTTGGACAGCAGCTCACGGATGTGTCCTTTCGCCTCTTCCACAGTCCCTGCAGCAGCAGTTTCCTCAGGGCCTTCCTCCTCCTCCTGCGGGAGCTCTAGAAGCTGCTGCAGGGTGGACTTCAGCTCTGGCAGCATCGCTTCCCACTCCTCCTCGGGCTCCACCACTGCAGCTGAAGGAGAGTGGCTCGGTATCTCACGGAGTTCCTGACTGCAGGGAGGGGAGGGTGGGAAGGGCTCCTGGAATAGCTACTCACAGGCAGCTGCTGCGCTGTGCCTCTGGGCCCGCATCTCTTGTAACTTCTGGGTTTCCTTCTGGAGCGGTCCAGCGAGGTCAGCATCACTGAGCTGGCGTGGTGGAATGAATACCCAGTCACTAAGTGACATACTTCCACCCGTCTGCGTTTCCTTCCTCCTTTGTGGGTGGAGCAAGTCACTTACCTTGCAGGAGAAGGGGTTGTTGGCTAGGAAGCTGGCCAGCAGCTGGATGGCGTTTTTACACACGAGCACCGACTTGTCGGCCAGACGCCCCACAGCTAATGCCACCACATCCTGGAAGCGCGTCAGAGGGAGCGCCTGGGTGGGCAAAAGAGAAGGGTCCGCTTGTACCCTCACAGTCCACTGCTCCAGAGGACCGAGACACACATGCTGCACTCTCCCCGCTCTCAAGAAAGCTTTCATGGGATATGAGACATGTAAGCAGCACCAAGGAGCAGGCAGGGCACACTGCAGCTCATAAGCAGGGCCGGGCACCCTTGTCCTCGGGACATGGAGACTTTCATCAGAGGCACTAAACCCTGCCCCCTGGCCTTGTCTTTGGGGTGGACCTCCCTTACCTTGGCCTGCGTGTGGAAGAAGGCCAGGGCTCCAACTCACAGGAGGGTGCTCACCTTCCGCTGCACGATTCGGGAGAAAAGCTGCAAGACACGGCTCCGGACGAAGGAGTGGATGTCATGGCTGTGGGCCTGCAGGGTATCCAGGAACTGATCTCTGGTGTCCCGCGCTGTGTCCTCCAGGTGGTCCCCGTTCAGGACCTGCAGCACCATCTCTGCCATGGCCGCCAGCACGGCATTGCGCATCATGTAATTCTAGGTGGGACCAGAGCAGAGCAGCTGGCACAAAGCCCTGCACTCCCACACTGACCCGTTCCTCTTCCTAAACTCCTCACCCATCAGCACAAGGCCTTCAGCCGCGGGCAAGCTCGCTTGTGCGTCGCTAGGACTTTTCTTGTCAACTGCCTAAATACTCACCCCCAAGGTCACAGGAAGAAGTAAATCCCTGAGTGGGCTTATTTGCTCAGAAAATACTGGGAGAAAATAAACAAGAGCTTGGCCGGGTGTGGTGGTGCACACCTGTGATCTCAGCACTCGAAAGGCTGAGAATCTGAGAATCGCCTGGGCTACACAGTGAGTTCCAGGCCAGCCTAAACTACATAGCGAGACCCCATCTCAAAAAAAGAAAAAAGATAAGAAAATAAACAAGGGCCACCCAGTTTTTCTCCATAAGGGTAACCCCAGTAAGCATGGTGGTAACAGGCTGAGTATCCCCTTTCTGAAATGCTTAGGACTAGAACGCTTCAGATTTTTTTCATATTTTGGAATATTTGCACATACAAGGAGATATCTTGGGGAGGGGACCTAAGTCTAAACAGGAAATTTATTTATGTTTTTGATATACCTTATACACACAGCTGAAGGGAATCTTTTGTTTGTTCGTGATGGGGTCTTGCTATATCACCTACACTGGTCTCCAGGTCCTGGACTTTTGTAGTTTACCTACCTCAGCCTTCCAAGTACCGGGCTATTGGCTTGTGGCACTGTGCCTGGCTCTGAAGGGAATCTTACATAATACTTTAAAGGTTCAGTGTGGTATGAAGTTTTCCACTTGTACCATGTTAGTGCTCAAAAAGTAGAGATTCTGCAGCATTTTGAATTTTGGATATCACATCCACTCACCAATATATATTTGAACAGTGTTTATTATGTCTTTTATCTGAGGTCATAAAGCCTCTGACCTCCACAAATAAACATCTCCTTCTCCCTCAACTCTCCTCCTATATTTCATGGACAGAAAAGCAGAAATCAGCCCTAGATGCCAAGCAAGTCTGTTAAAAAGTCTGGTGGAGGAAAGGGTTTGGGATTTTCCAGTACATGTTTGCAGTACATAGTGATCACGTTCCCTGTGGGGAAGTGGTGCATGCACGTAACACATCTCAATTCCTTTTTTTCAAGGGTTTGGGATTTTTGACAGGCCACAAGCCATAGAACAGAATCTTTTATAAGACGTTAAAGTTAGATTAGATAAATCAACAGGCTGTCTTTGTCTGTGACATTCACCCAGGAATACTCAACATCACTTTGAGAAGCAGCCAGATTAGGATCCAGACATGAGAGAGAATTGAGAAAAAAAGACACGGAGGGGCTGGGGATTTAGCTCAGTGGTGCTGCCGCCTGCCTCGCAAGCACAAGGACCAGAGTTCGATCCCCGGTACGGGGGCGGGACACACGACACGGAGGACCAGGGATGCAGCTCAGTGATGCTGTGCCTGCCTGGCAAGCGCAGGCTCCTGAGTTCAATTCCTGGTACCAAAAAAAGGAAAGAAAAAAAGACACGGTTGATCTGAGAAAGCAGGTGAGCCAGACGGCAGGAGGAGGCTTCACCTGAGGGGTGCAGGGGACACAGAACCAAAGCTGAGTTGCTCTCACCCACTTCAACTACAGACTGTCATCTCCCTCGCCAGGCCTGAACAAGGGTTCCTCGCTCAACACACTCCGTTTGCTTCTTGGCAGGAGGGAACTGCCACGGGGATAAACTTAGACAACTTGTCTTCATGCAAAAGCTATTTTCTTTAAAAAAAAAACAAAACCTTTAGGGCTGGGGATTTAGCTCAGTGGTTCTACCACCTGCCTGGCAAGGGCAAGGTTGCGAGTTCAATTCCCAGTACCTCCCCCCAAAATAAAATAAAATAAAATAAAACCTTTGAGCTGGAGATGAGCTCAGTTATAAATTGTGTGCTCAGCGTGCGTGAGGCCCTGGGTTTAATCCTCAGTATTACATTAAAAAAGAAAAAAAAATTAGACAAATATAAAGAAAAAGCCTTTCAACAATGACCTTCACCCGTAGGAAAACCTCAGAGGCCTCCGTGAGTGCCTACCTCTCTGTCCAGGTGGTCCAGCAGCATGCACATGCTGGACAGCAGGATTGCAGGCACCCGCTCTGCGAGCTCCGTCAGGAAGCTGGCAAAGCCCTTGGCCCCCGATACGTCCCGACTCAGCTCCTGAGGACACTTCTGTCCAATCTCTCTGCACAGGGAAGGAAACAGCCCCGGAAAGGCAGCTGGATTATTCAACTCTCAGGGAGGGAAGACATGAATAATTTCATGCTGCGCAGAATATATTTCCAATCTCCTTTATCTCACTCCAAGGAAAACCGAGCATGAGAAATGTGGAAAAGAGTCACCTTACGATCTCTCCCACAATGCTCTTCATGCCGTAATCCGTTGCCCAGAGACTCACAGCTGCCACCAGCACAGGTGCGAGGTGTTCAAAGTGCTGCAGCATCTGGATGATCTTCACGGTGGCACCTGCACGAGTCACACACATGGGGCATCGCATCGTGGGCAAAGCCAGGTGGGTGGGGGAGAGCAGGCACTTACTGAGCATGTGGTTATAGCGTGTCAGGGCCACGCCCAGCAGGTGCGCAGCGGCTTCCCGGGTAGGCCGGTTCTTCTGGTGAGTGATGCTGGGATTCTCCAGCAGGCGGTAGCAGCAGCCAGTAACCAAACTGAGGAGAAGGGTGGAGATAATGGAACCAGTGCAGCAGGGCCCTGCTGCGTTCACCCCACCCCGCTGCCACCCCCCCACCATGCCAAATCCAGTCTCCTTCATTCCATCACCTAAACAAGTCGCTTGGCTGACAGCACACAGGTACTTCCTTCCAGCCAGCCTTCACGCTGACATACGACCAGAGTATATGATGAAGGGCAGACAGAGCCACGGATGACTTCTCACGGCTGAACACAACGCTCAGACTTTCAGGCATGCTTGATCACTTACTTTGTCCTCATGAAGTAGACTTCATCTGGCTTCCAGGATGTCACACTCCCTTCTCACTTTCTTTGGCTGTGTTCTCATTTTACTCGCTTAATGCTGGAGAGCCCCGTGTACTGCTCTCTTCCATGTACACTTACTGATTTAGTGACTTATTCGGTCTCGTAACTTTATTTTCTTTTATTTTGTTTTTTGCTACAGGGTCTCGCTATGTAGCCCATGCTGGCCTCGAACTCACAGCCCCTTGAGGGCTGGGATTGCAGGCCTGTGCCACCACACTGGGCCAGTCTCATAGCTTTAAATACCGCATGTTCCCAAATGTCTTTCTCTAGGCCTTCTCTTCCAAACTCCCGATCTGTACATGCAAGAGCCACCTCTGACACCTTTCCTCAGATACAAGCCCCTCAAACCTGCTAAGACTGAAACAACTCTGAACTTGTACCCACAGCCTTCTCCATGCTGAGTTATCGGTGAGCTGTTCTCCCACATGCTCAGGCCAAGCCCCTAGGCAGCTACCCTGGACTGCACCCTTCATATGCCATAGCCGACCTACCAGGAAATCCTGCAAGCTCTCACTCAAGGAAAAAAGTACAGAACCCCCTTCCTGTCTGCACACTATTCCCAGGTCTTGAGTTACTGAACAGCCTTGTAACTGACCCCCATTTGTCCTGTCCCCCCCCAAAGTCACTCCATAGCCAGGATGGTCCTGCGAAGTGGGAGTCCTGCTTGGCGGGGGACCCCGTAGCACTTGGAGCGTGTGCTGAAGCCACCAGGATGGCCTGCTTGGCTTCTCCCTGTTCCCCTGACCTCACAGCCTGCCCTGTTCACCAGCTCTCATCTGCAGTCTCTTGGGCCTCACTGCTACGACTGCACATGCTGGCCACACCCCCTCCTCAGGGTCTCTACCCTTGGTCCCTATCTATCATCTATCTATCAGTACCAAAGACTGAACCCCAAGCCCTTCACACTGACCTAGACTCCAGCCCTTTTTTATTTTGAGACAGGGTCTTGCTAAATCACTAAGTTGCCCAGGCTGGGCTTGAACTTGCAACTCTCCTGCTTCAGCCTCCCAGAGCACTGGGATTACAGGTGTGTGACTCACAACTGACCCTCCACATGGTCTTATGGTGCCCACTCACCTACTCTGGCTCTGTGCTCAAATGTCATCTCAAAGAGATCTTGCTCGAACAGTTGATTTATCACAACCCTTTTCCACCAAACTTCCCACTCCCCCTATTTTGCTACATCGTAATAAAACATAGAACATAGCATACATTTTACCTATTTAAAAAATTGTCTTCTCTATAATATAAACTTCAAGAGAGCAAAACCTTGTTTCCAGTGTCTATAATGATGCCCATTATATACCTAGGAGACTTAGTGAATATCTTCTTGTGAATATTTAAGTAGCTGTTAGAGATGAGCAGGTCTCGTCAGTTTCTTACATTCTGTGATCTCCTTTCATGCTGTTATGCTTCTGTGTATTACAGGCAGAACTGAGGCATGAAGTGAAGTATTTCAAAGGCTTATCTAAGACAGAGCTTCTATTCCTCCTGGCTCAGCTTCGGTGTTTTTTTTTGGTGCCGGAGATTAAACTCGGGACCTTGTACTTATGAGGCAGGCAGCGGCACCAATGAGCTAAATTCCTGGCCGAGGTCTGGTGTTTTGTTTTGGCGCCAGGGATTAAACTCAGGGCCTTTTTGCTGAGCTACATTGCCTGCCCCACCAGCCCTTTTTCTCGAGACAGGGTCTTACTAAGTCACTGCCAGTTACCCAGGCTGGCTTGAATTTGCAATCCTCCTGCCTCAGCTTCCCGAATTCTGAGATAACAGGCATGTGTCCCACGCCTGTCTCTGGCTCTGCATTTCTGCAGCCATGGTAATTACTCACCTGACAAATTCCTCTTCAATGATTGAGTGGTTCCACAGGTGACGAATGTCCAACTGGAGGAGCTGTGTTAAGAGCTGAAGAATTGGTTGCCTCTCTTCTTCCCAGTCAAAGCCATGGCCTGCTTTGCTCCGGGATTTCTTATTCTGAAAAAGAAACAATAAACAGAGGGTCCAGATCTGCCAATCTGCGTGCCCAAACTATCCAGTCCAAGACAACGTTGAAGGTAACGCGAAGCACTACAAGCACTGACATGTAGAGGGACTCGTGGGGAAGGGGATGGGACATGCCCGAGTACTTCCTTCTAAACCTCAGCCGAGGACAGTAGTGTTCTGCAATCACTGGATACCCTTCTTTCCCATCAATTTCCCACTTCCCCTGTACAGAGTCAGGAACTCTAAATTACCTTCCCGCCCACGTCCAGGTCCACGAGGCTTGTCTGGCTGGCCATAGTCTCGAAGGATTCCAAGAGGCGTATCAGGGCATAGCAGTTCATCTTGAGGGCATTGAGGTGGGCACTTCTGTCCGATGCACTCAGAGTTGTGTCCTCCAGGATGGCTGGGAGCTCCTGGGAGTGGCGGGAGACCACTGCAAGGGGCAGAGCCTGCAAGTTGGCTTCATTCACTTTCCTCATACACCCCGATCTCAGAACCTCCAGCAGTGGTGGCCATCAGATTACCAAAGATCTGTGTTTCATCTCTCAGTGGCCATGAGAGCTAAGCCCTTTGAGACCTGGACCCCAATTGAAACCTGGAACATGCCCTGTTCCTACTCTCACTCCAGGTACCACGATTTCTCCCTGGCACCTGGGAGAAGACCCTACAAGAGCTGGCTTGAAAGTAGGAAAAGTTCTTGTTGGTCTGCCCTTACAGCGGACGCACATAACTCTGCATCACCCACCAAGATTACAGACCGTCAGGGGCCTGATCCCGGGCTTAGTCCGACCAACTGAATCACAACAGCCTTGATATCATCACGTGGCCGATAAACTGCAGCAGACAGGATGCACACGAGCAACACTTTCCAGCCCCTACCCCCGACCCATAAACACCTTTTGTCAGGAATTCCAGAGCATCTTCCTTGAGGCCAGGATCTATACTTCGAAAGTGACTATGAGGGAAAGAAAGTGTGGGGGTGAGACAGGAACCTGCAGAGCCCATTCCAACAGATCAGTGCTAACTGAAGGGAGCCAATGCTTGAAAACACATGTGACCTGCTCGACTGGATAAACATGGTTGCAAGCTGAATAAACGCTCATGAGGAGAAATATCAGCACCAGGAACCATTTGTCAGTGAATCTATAAGTTAGAACTTCAGGACTGACATGGAAATTCAGGGCAAAGAGCCACCAGGTCTGCTTAAGGCCCTAGCTGGGTATTTTACTTACTGTAAAATGCTGTAGATGGTATCAAAGTGTTCCAGGATAGCCAGGGGCCCCTGAGCTCGGAAGGTGGCCTGAAATGCTAGAAAGATGAAAGCAACTCATCAGTCTGGAGGAAGAGAGGCTTTTCTGGTAAATTCTATCCACAGTGCATTGAAGTGTCATGTTTCTGTAGTCTTCTGCCATCTTTGTCTTTCCTGATCCTGACATTTTTTTGAAAAGTACTAATCTGTTATTTTGAAGATGATCTTTCAAGTTGCCTGACATTTTCTCCTAATTATATTGGAATTATGCCTTTTTGGCATGTCTATCACAGACAAGAAGTTTGTGTCTTCCATATCACGTCAAGGGGTACATATCAGGGTCCTGACTCGGATCACTACGGTGACCGTTGTGTCTCTCCTTCCCTCACTATTAACAAGCAAAGCAGTTATACTGCACATAGTGTAGCAACATTAATATGCACTGAACAACCACATTTCAGCCAATGGTGGACTGCACACATGACAGTGGACACATATGACTACTCTATGATGCTTGCACAATGATGAAATTGCCTGACGATACAGGTCTCCAAAAGTACACTGTCTGAGCTCCGTGTGACTGTGTCTTGCGGGAAGGTACTTTAGAGCTCAGTACGGTGGTGTGAGCCCTGTAATCCCAACCCTTCAGGAGGCTAAGGCAGGAGGATTGAAAGTTTGAGTTCCACCTGGGCCACTTAGCAAGATGCTGTCTCAGAATAAAAAAGGGCTGGGGCTGTCGCTCAGTACGAAGGCCCTGGGTTCTAACCCAGTACTGGATAAAAGAAAAAAGAAAAAAAAAGATCAGTGGGCGCTCCTTCCACTTGGCCTGCGTGCCCTGGATGTGTTCCCTATGTTCTTGCACAGCGCGCTCCAGGCTCGCCTTGGCCCACTCCGGCGTCAACCACTCACGAAAAGATCAACGCCACCCTAAACAGAGGGTCTAAGTCACTTCTCCCCTAAGGTTAGATACAGTATTTCTAATCTCTTCCAATAACAACAGATTTACTCCTCTGGCAAATTTTCTACTCAACATAGCTGCACAGATAAAATGGGGCTGAGAGTAACACAAACCTGCTGCCTCTTCTCTCACTTTAAACTTATGAGCACTCAGGCAGCCTTCATCGTTCCTCTGAAGCCTTTACAAATTCTCAGGTCTAAACTGGGTGTGGTGGCTCATGCTTGTAATCCCAGCACTTTGGGAGGCTGAGGCAGGAGAATAACACAGTCTAGGCAAGTCAGCAATTTAGCAAAGATGTGTCTCAAATGAAAAATAGGCAGGGGGTATTGTTCCATGCACAGGCCCTGGGTTCAAGTCCCAGTACCACAAAACAAACAAACAAACAAACAAACAAGCACATCTCTAATCTCAGCTGTGTTCACTTGTCCTGGCACTCACTTCCCAGCCTTCCTCCGCTTTTCCATGGAGACATTCCTTGGCTCAGGGCTCCCGTCCTTGTTTCACCAAGGAGAGGGAAGCAGACAACTCTCAAGTGTCCCCATTTCCACGTCACCCGCACCACCTGTGTCTCTGCCCTGCCCTTGGCCTTCCTTTGCCACTGCACATAACATAAACTGTCCCTATTCCAAAAGCCGCCTCTCGTCTCTGCACACGAGTCCTCTTATTAAAGGACACTGCTCCAGGGATTGTTCCTGCTTCCTTGGGTGACACAGCCTCCCCCTCCCGAGCACTCCCATTTACTACACCACATACCACCTGTCTCTTTTCTTGGCGTTACTGGGGATTGAATCTAGCCAGGGCCACGCACATGCCAGGCAACCTCTCTACCACTGAGCTATACCCCCAGCTCTTTTTAAAAATGAGACAAGGTCTTGCTAAATTGCCTAGATTGGCCTTGAACTTGTGATCCTCCCACGCAGCTGATTACAGGCACACACTACCATGCCCAACTACACTCTGCCCTTTTTTTTGTTGGCCGTACTTGGAATTGAAACCAGGGCCATTGCATTGAGGTGCATTCTCAGCCTGCCTTTATTTATTTATTGAGAGAGTCTCACTAAATTGCTAAGTTTCCCAGGCTGGGCTCGAACCTGAGAAACACCTGCCTCAGCCACCACAACCAGCTTGGTCTACTCACTTTAAAAAAGAAATACTGACCTGGACTCACTGCCTCCAGTCCCTCTCCTCCCGTTTTCCTGCTATGTTTTCCACTCAAGCTTTTGCACCCACTTCTCCTTTGAAGCAGATTTTGTCAAACTTTTGTCACCAGCACATCCTTGAATCTAGTAATTAATTTGCAGGTAATCTCTCTTCTCTATTTTAAAACATTCTCTTTCTCTTACTTTTTCCTTTTTTGAAGGGTGGTCTATAAACTTACTATGTAGCCCAAGCTAGCCTGGCTCTTGCAGTGATCTTCCTGCCTCAGCCTCCAGAGTACTGGGATTACAGGTGTGCACCACCACGCCCCGCCATTTTTGAAGCATCCTCTTATCTTCTCTTTACTTTCTGCCTCAAGGACTGATCCTCGGTTTCTTCTAATGGTTCCTCCTCAACTATCTGAAATTTTAGTCTTCGAAGTGGCCCTCACTCCAACTTCATGGCTTTAAATGCCATCTGCCTGCTGAACGATAAACTGCAAATGTCTGTCTTTAGCTGGCACCACTCAAGGTCATGCTCATATAAGCAACACTTTAAACTTCTATATTCTACCCTAATCCAGTTAATGGCAATGTGTTTCTTCTAGTTGTTCCAGTCACAAAGTTTCGTAATCATCCTAGATTCTTTTTGTAACTGTACAAATCAAATGCAACCCATCAGCAGTCTGGCTGGTTCTACTTTCAAAACACACTCAGGATGCCCCCATTTATTACCAGCATCACTGCTACCCTCCAGTCCAACCTATCCAGTATTATTATTATTTTAGGTTTTTTGAGACAGGGTCTTGCTGTGTAGTTTAGACTGGACTTGAACTCACTATATAATCCAGGCTGGTCTCAAATTCATAGCAATCCTCCTGCCCCAGCCTCAAGAGTACTGGGATTATAGGCATGTACCACCACATCCAGTGCTAGTGATGCTTTTAAAAGATGTCTTGAGCTGGGCACAGTGGCGCATGCCTGTAATCCCAGCACTTGGGAGGCTGAGGCAGGAGGATCACTGAGAGTTTGAGGCCAGCCTGAACTACAAAGGGAGACCCTGCCTCAAAAAAACAAAATAGGCCTGGGATTTAGCTCTGTGGTTCTGCCGCCTGCCTCGGAAGCGAAAGTGCAAGGTCCTGAGTTCTATCCCCAGTACAAAACAAAACAAAGAGCTGGGGATTTAGCTCAGTGGTTCTGGTGCCTGCCTCGCAAGTACAAGGTCCCGAGTCTGATCCCCAGTACCAAAAAAAGACAAAACCGAAAATAAATAAGTAAATAAAGTAAACGATGATGATGATGTCACTTCCATGCTCAAAACTACATGGATTTTTTGCTCACACTGAAGCTAAACTCTTTACCATGACCTATAAGGCTCTAGAGATCAGTGCTTATAAATCAAATTATCTGGGGATCTTAAAATACAGTTTTAGGCAGGCATGGGGGTGCATGCCTGTAATCCCAGATTCTTGGGAAGCTGAGGTAGGGGAATCACAAGTTTGATGTCAGCCCGAATAATTTAGTGAGACCATGTCTCAAAATAAAATCAAAAGACCTGGGGTACAGCTCAGTGGTAGACTGCTTGCCTAGCAGGTACAAGGCCCTAGGTTCAACTGCCAGTATACAAAAACAGAATCGTCATGTGTTTAAAAACCGATGAACAGCTTGCTAGTGCACAGCCTGTGCTGCTGGTGACACACACAGCCACACAGTCGGACGGAGCAGTACATCTGTGGGCACTGCTGGTGTTTGCCAGCCGCCGCCCACTACCCACACTGCCTTCTTCTTGCCTGCCTAATGAATGCCAGGTTCGGGTTAGGGAGGCCCCATCAGGTCAGCGGTCTGGCTAGTTCTGTTTTCCTACCAGGAATCAGAGGAGTAGGCACACAATCTATGTCTGGCAGAGGCTGTTGGGAGGCCTCTGGTCAAGTTTTGAAAACAGAAAAAGCACAAGAGGGAACTGCCTTTCCCCACTTCTGGACCTCAGAGCCAGAAGCTGCCATCTGACCCCTGTGGTGCAAAGGTCAAGCGGGGAGAGGCTAAAGTATACTCCTGAGCTGTTGCACTGACTCAGCCTGCTTGTAGGTAACAAATGAAGTATATCATTATCCCAGTGTTTACAGACGAGGAAACTGAGGCACAGAGAGAATTAAGTAACTTGTTCAAGGCTCGAATAGTAGAACCAGGGTTCAATCCAGGCAGCCTGGCACAGTCTTTAGCGAACATACTTCTCCAGGGCAACCAAACCAATATAAAATGATTCCAGAAAGTACAGTGGCATTATGGGGTCTTGTTAGTAATGCACACGTTGTTTTAGGACATTTAGCTTTCAGAAGGTAACTGCACTATACTTACAGTCCTGTGCCATGTAATGTATTTTTTGTTTGTTTTTTTCTTATTTTGAGGCAGGGTCTCCCTTTGTCATTCAGGCTGACCCTGAACTCACTACGTAGCCCAGGCTGGCCTCAAATCAAGGTGATCCTTCTGCCTCAGCCTCCGGGAGTGCTGGGATTACAGCTGTGCGCTACCACGCCCGGCTCCACATAGTTTTTTTAGTTGATGATGGACCACATATATGAGGGTGGCTCCATAAGATTACAACAGAACTGAGAAACTGCTATCCCTAGTGAGTTGTAGCCATTGTAACATTGTTGCACAGTTACTCACTTGCTTATGAGGCTGCTGTAAACAAACGCACTCTTATCACAAGCCTATAAAAGTATAGCACATACAATTATGCATAGTACACGCTACTTGATAATAAATGACTGTTACTGTTAATTTAATGAATGTATTCTTTTTCTCATTTCAGTGCTGGGGATTGAACCCAGAGCTTCACACAAGCTAGGCAAGCACTCTATCCCTGTGCTGTATCCCCAGCCCTAGAGTGAGCTTCACAGAACCTAGGTGTGCAGTAGGCTTCATCAACTAGGTTTGTGCAAGCATACTCCATGATGTAAATCGAAAAAAATCACCTGACAACAGGCTTCTCAAAACACATATCCTTATCCTCTTCGTGAAGCGCTGCATGACTATTCTGTATGGTGTTGCACCTCTGCATGTGTTTTTTCCATTAACGCACATCTTGAAAACAAGAGATCTATTCTAAAAAAACATTATCTAAAAAAAGTCAAGTCCCACATACTGAAAAAGCTTCCTTCTCTCATAACTCTTAAATGTATCAGGACTTTATTTTAGTATTAGTAAAGGTAAGGAGCAAAAATAATTTGCTCCCAAAGATCACCCATGTTCAATGAGACTATTAAATAATCCACAGAAGGCAGATAATGAGTGTACTCCTTGCCATGGTACCATGCAATGCTAGGGAAAAAAACCAGGGAACTGGAAAGACATTTTCCTTGCCCTCGGAGGCAATGTAATTACATGTGCCATGGTTTTGAAATGCTAGGTACAGTGGCCACTGTGGAGTCTTACCTTTGAGCTGGGATGGCAGATGTCTAATGGACACTACCTCTTGTACAACATACTGATTAACACCTCCACTTTTCAACAACTCCTCCGGGGATAAAGGCAGATGGAACTCGAACAGCTGGGGAGACATCCTTCTCCCACTGGCTCCGGGCTAGAAACCAAACCGCTAAAAAGTTAGGGACTTAATCTGGTTCTATTATTTTCCCACCTCCGATATGATTTTAATCTTAAAACAAGCTGATGACATTATCTTTGAGGATGTGATATCAACCTTGGACTAGAATCCAACTGCTGTCATAACTCTGCTACCTGGTCATGTCACTTAACCCTTTCAGCTTCAACAGCAAAACAAGGTCACTAATCTCTGATCACAAAGTTGCTCTGAGGACCAGATAGATCACGGAGCACAAAAGTGTTTACAGAAGTATCTAAGGTTCAGCGTAGAGAATGTCTCACCCGAGGCCAGAGCAGTAGCCTGTCCCTGGGCTGGGGGGTTTCCCAGCTCCAGAATCAGGAGCATTAATGTTATTATATATTCTCTCTGGGTCAGGCTGCGTTCGGCTATTCGAATACGCCACATCCAATCTAACTCTCCTCGTCTCAATCCTATGGAGTGCTTATAGTAAATACCACAACCCAATTCACAGATGCGGAATTTAAGGATAGGCGATTTGGCCGAATTACAATCATTCAGTTCCGGACCAGCGAGACTTACTGTTTCTACCACATCGCCCCCCAAGGATATACCTACTAGGCCGCCCTCAGTACTGCAGGGTCCCTAGGATTGCGTCCAACTGCCCGTACCCGATTTCCTCAGCCTTTCACTCAAACAGCACACCTCTCCGGAGCACCTCGTCGCCTCCGCAGACGCTGGGATCCCGCTGAAATGGAAGGGTGCCACGAATGCACAAGACGCACCTATCAGCGAGACTGTTTTGACGTTGGCAGAGAAACCGACCAATCCGCGGCAGGTTGAGACCAAGGCCCGCCTCCCAGGCAGGCGACGCGCGGACCAAACCACCAACACCGAGTTCAAATTCCAACGGCTGCTAGGGGGCCAATCGCGTCACTCACTAAAGCGATCAACCAATCACAGCACGGGAACGCCTCAGCGAGGGGCGGGGCCTAACCCGGGCTCCAGAGCCCGCGCCGCCGGGCGCCTCCGGCACCCCCGGGCAGAGGGGACGAGACCCTGCCAGCCAGAGCTGTCCCGTTCCTGGCTGGACAGTGGCCCTGCCCCTGGAGTAGTGACCCACTCAGGCACCCCCGGAACAGGAGGCAAGTCCAGGCCGGAAGTGGGAAGGCTTGCGCTCTAATCCAGGTCCTGCCATCTCCGCCTGAGTCGTACAGCTGGTCACAGAGCCTCAAAGTCGCTCCCCTGTGAAATGGGAGCGCACTACTGGAAAAAAGCGCACTACTGTCGTGAGGCAGACGAAAGAGCTTGGCCTTTGAGCACTCCGAAACTGCCTTCTGGACGCTGATCCGTCATCTCCCTCAGCGGGATACCCGAAGGGGCGGGAAAGGGTGAAGTTTCTTTGAATTTCAGTTTTGGGAAGCCCTCGCAGCGACCAGAGGCGTCCTCAGCTCTTCCGGTGCTCCCAAACTTCCGGTGCGCAGACCGGAAGCGCCTAGGCGGGGCGGGCTGGCCTCACCTCGGTCGGCCGGAACCTGGGAGCGGGGATTGTACTTGGGCGGGGTCTGCACGAAAGGCTACCTGGGTAAGGCCCAAGATGGTTGCCCACAGGCTTCTGTTTGGGTAAGGTTGTACGGTCGATTCGTGTTGGCATCTCCTTGAAGGCCACGCCTGCTCCACATTCTCGGGCTCATTTGATGTGCTGTTGAGAGGAGCAGACTAGAGCAATGGCAGGGGCCCTCTCTTGGAGGGCTGGTAAGAGCCTGTGGGCCTGGATGACTTTGGGCTGCAGAAACTTCTCTCTGGGTAAGTAAATGGGTCCCGTAGGTAGACTTCCCGAGAGCTGCTTCTTGGTAAGCGGTTCAGATCCATTCCATCTCTTCCCCATCTCTAGGTGTTCCAGAATTGTCGCGTATCAGGCTCACCCTGCCGCCTCCCAAAGTGGTTGATCGTTGGAATGAGAAGAGGGCCATGTTTGGAGTATATGACAACATTGGGATCTTGGGTAAGAACTTGGCCCTCAGGATAACACATCCATGGGCTGAAGACTTAGCTGGGGTAGGGTGGATTCTCTTGTTTTGGAAGTAATGTGGTCTTTACCATTTACAGGAAACTTTGAAAAGCACCCTAAAGATCTGATCAGGGGCCCCGTATGGGTTCGAGGCTGGAAGGGAAATGAACTGCAGCGTTGTATCCGAAAGAAGAAAATGGTTGGAAATAGAATGTTCATTGATGACTTGCACAATCTTAACAAACGTATCAACTATCTCTACAAACACTTTAATCGTCATGGGAAGTACCGGTAGAAGAAAAATCTGGGATCTGTGGAAGAGGCATGTGTATCTTCCCTGAATGGGACTTTTCCCTGTGAGGAAAGGATTTCATATGCTCACTAATAAAATGGAGCTTTGAAATGTGATATCCACACACTTTATTTTTCTCTAAGTGTTGCTTGTATTTATTCATGTAGGCTATGGAGTCTGACTCATCCTTAAGTCTTAGGGTCTTAGGTTTGGGTTTGATCACTCACTCTTTACAGTCTATACTTATGGCCTTTAAAAAAAAGAGAAGTTGGTGAGAATAACTTATTGTTGGCATTTTTCGATATTGGCCCTTCATGTATTGAAAATGGTTTTTGGTTTGTTTTTTTTTTGCTTTTTTTTGATACCGGGGATTGAACTTGGGTCCTTGCGCTTACACAGCAGGCAGCAAAACCACTGAGCTAAACCCCCGGCCCAGTTTTGTTTTGTTTTGTTTTTGTGGTGTTGTACATGCTAGGCAAGTACCCTACCACTGACCTATATCCCCAACCCCTTGAAAGTGATAATTTCTTAGAGTTTTGGTTTTTCTTTTGGTACTGGGGATCAAACTTGGGACCTTTCGCTTGCAAGGCAGGCGGTGGAACTACTGAGCTAAATCTCCAGCTCTGAAAGTGGTAATTTCTAATGTCCCATAATGCTGTTATGCTTTTTTATTTTGTTTTGTATTTGAGATAGGATCTCACCATGTATTCCAGCCTAGCCTTGAACTCACTATGTAGCCCATACTGGCCTTGAACTCAGAGCAATTCTACCTCAGCCTCCCAAGTGCCAGGATTGCAGACATGTACCCCCAGGCCTGGTGATGCTGTTAAGTGTTTCTAAAAGACCTTTCCAAACTAAAGTAAAATATAATAGGAAAATGAAATTATGCTTTTTTACTACTCATAAAAAATATTTAAAGATGACTTCTCTGAATAGGAATTATAGGAAAATAAAATAGTATAAAGTATCTTCCATACTTTAATATAAAGCATAGTACCATGTGAATGGTATAGATGGGGGACAAAGTCTGACTAATCATCGGAACTATCTGGGTAGTTTGATGTTTCAAAAGATTCATCCCACAGGGCTTAGTGGTGCATACCTATAATCCTAGCTACCTGGGAGACTGAGTCAGGAGAAGTGTAAATTCAAGGTCAACCTGGGCAACTTAGTAAGACCCTTTCTCAAAATAAAATAAAATGGGCTAGGGATGTAATGGTAGAGTACTTACCTAGTGTACACAAGGCCATGGGTTCAATTTCAAGCATTGCAAAAACAAAACAAAACAGCCTAAGCGGGGGATTTGGCTCAGTGGTTCTGCCACCTGCTTCACAAGCATAAGGTCCCGAGTTCAATCCCTGGTACCAAAACCAAAAAAAGCCTGGTCTCAACTCATAGATTGATTAGTAGTGATGAGCTGAGTCTTGGGCATCCATGTGGGTGTTCGGGATTTTTGTATGTGTGTGGCACTAGTGATTGAACCCAGGGCCTCGGATATGCTAGACAAGTGTTTGTTCTTAGCCCTGTTGTTATTGTTTAAATAACTAAAAATTATCCATCCATACAACTGCAAAATAGGGTAATCAGGTGGAAAATTTTCCTGCAGCCTATTTTTGCTCTTCAGAAGCAACCACTCAATTTACCTTCTAATCCTTCTGACATTTATTGCGTATGCACAAGTTTATACTGTTTTGTTTGTTTGTTCGTTTTTTTGAGACAGGGTCTCACTATGTAGTCCAGGCTGGCCTTGAACTTGAGGCAGTCCTCTTGCCTCAGCCTCCCAAGTGCTGGGATTACAGGCATGAACCACCACACCTGGCTGATGTATTGTTTTTTGTTTTTGTTTTTTGGTACAGGGATTGAACTCAGGGCCTTGTGTTTGCAAGGCAGGCAGCAGAACCACTGAGCTAAATCCCCAGCCCCTCATGTATTATTATTATTTATTTTTTTGGGGGGGTACTGGGGATCGAACTCGGGACCTTGCGATTGTGAGGCAGGCGCTGGAACCACTGAGCTAAATCACCAGCCCAAAGCCCAAAAGTGATTTCTCTCCTTCGTTTTTTTTTTTGGTACCGGGGATCGAACTCGGGTCCTTGCGCTTGCGCAGCAGGCAACGAAACCACTGAGCTAAATCCCAGGCCCCTCATGTATTGTTTTTAAAGAAGTCCTTTATGTGGACTAAAAGTTATTTGTTCTTCAGGCAAGTTTTCAGGTTGATGTGAGCAAATCTCTATTATAAATTATCAATAAGAATTTTGGCTAAGGGGTGTAGCTCAGTGGTAGAACATTTGCTTACCATGTACAAGGCTCTGGATTCCATCTCCACTGCAAAGGAAAGAAGCTTTGGAATTAGGCCTGTGTTTGAGTCCAAGCTCTTCTCTTTCTATGTGTACTATCCCAGAGCGTGCGATTAATTTCCATGACCCTTAGTTTTTAAAATCCTGTCAGGAATAATACAGATCTTTACCTCTAGGGTTATGTTACGAATAAATGAAGTTGTGTGAACTAGTACAGCCAGGTGTGGTGGCATATGCCTGATTCCAGCACTTGAGGGGCTGAGGCAGGAGGATGAGTTTGAGGCCAGCCTACGCTACATAGTGAGGCCCTGTCTGAAAAAAAAGAAAAGTACAGGGTTTAGCAAGTGTATACAGTAATGAAATCTGAAGAACTGGATGAAAAAGAATTATGTTCTTAAAGTTAATAAAGGAGTATTTCAAGTTAAAGAAGAAGTGCTTGTAGATAGGAGTTGGGGCTTCAAGGTAGAGGAATGAGTGATCCAAATCTTTTGAAGTAAACACTTGCTATAGTGATTATTGTTATAGAACAATCCACTTAGACATAATTACCAAAAACAAGTTACTGATTCACATTCTCTAGGTTATCCAGACTTGGCTGGTTGACTCCATTTGTTGTGGGTTGGATGGCTTAGGAGGTTGTGTTCAGCTGTGAGCCCTGCCTGGGTCAGCGTGGCCGTGGCTGAAGTGTTGTCTCCACTCCAGTTTGTTTTTTGTTTTTGTTTGGTACTGGGGGTGGAACTCGGGTCCTTGCGCTTGCGAGGCAGGCGGTGGAACCACTGAGCTAAATCCCCAGCTCTCCACTCCTTTTTGGTGCAGAGCGGGTTGACTCAGTTTTTCTGTGTGGTTTTGTTTGTTTGTTTGTTTGTTTTTGGTACCAGGGATGGAACTCAGGACCTTGTGCTGGTGAGGCAGGTGGCAGCGCCACTGAGCTGAATCCCTGCCCTTTCTGCGCGGTTTCATTGCTCAGAGGTAGAGCCCAGACATCTTTGCACAGGCTTCGTCCCTAAGGGCAAAAGGAGAAGTTGCAAAGCTCGATAGACAGAGGCCCAGAAGTTGCAGTGTTGCTTGTTGGACATTCTGTTGGTCACAGTGTCACGAGCCAGCCCAGATTCAAGGCAGTGGCAAGGCATTGTGTGTTTTGGTCAGGGCAGCAATGTGCAGTGACAGGGATGTGAGAAAGTGTTGGGAGAGATGGACAGACAGAAGACTAGCACAGTAACATCGCTTGCCCCTTTGGTATAGTCGACAAAAGTGCAGTTAGGTAATAGGTGGACTGTGGAGAAATGAATGGATGGGTATCTATGAAAGTATGTTATCCCAGGTCTTCCACCTGAGCATACTACACTGAGTTTTCTGAGGGTGGCTGAGAGTAGCCAAGTGGAGAATGCAGAGGCTGATGTGATCTGTGAGTGGCTGTGATATTTGTATTATTTGATGGGACTGGGATGGAGAAATAAAATCCAGTGCTGAGCCTGGGATTTAGCTCAGTGGTTCCATTGCCTTGTAAGTGCAAGGTCCGGAGTTCGATCCTTGGTACCAAAATAAATAAATACAATAAAAGCCAGTGCTTGAGAATGCTAAGTGTAAGGAGCTCTGAAAAATAGACATAAGCTAGTAGAATATGTGACTGTTAGTGAAGAGGAAATTAATAGGTCAAGTGGCATTTATAAAATACTTCCTGCTGTGAAGATACAAAGGTCTTGTTTCCAAGGACAGAATAATATTGTTTGTGTTTTGAAATATTATGAAACATTTTCTTTCACTAAACACTGAACCATTTTGCGCAAGGATACTTGTTACCGAGACTGGCCGGGCTCCCTCTCAACAAAAACCAAAAAGAATAACACTGAGGGCCGGGCCGGGGATTTAGCTCAGTGGTGCCACCACCTGGCTCGAAAGTGCAAGGTCCTGAGTTCCATCCCCTGCACCAAAAAAAAAAAAAAAGAATAAAAACGGAGGCAGGGTTGGTTCCTACTTCATCCAACTTGTATGCATATGTATGCAAACATAATATGAATATGCAAACAAAATATAAATTTGAATAGGAAAATTAGAGTTCTATGAGAGGTCTTTTTTTAGAGGATAAGAAAAAGTATTTGTTGAAGAGATGGCACTCAAAGTAAGTCCTGGCAATCCCAGCGGCAGAAGCAGGAATCTGCAGGTGTAGAGAGGAGGAACCCTGTCCCATTCTGGGCGGTAGCAGGAAGAGCAGGGAGGGCTTCCTGGAGGAGGCAGACGCTGGATTTTCTTAAAGGAGGGGTTTTTTTGTTTTGTTTTGGCGGTCCTGGGATTGACCCTAAGGGCTTTTCACTGAGCTACATCCACAGTACTTTTTATTTTGAGACAGTCTCACCAAGTTGCTAAATGCCCAGTCTTGCTTGCAGTTCTCCTGCCTCAGCCTCCCAGAGTGCCCCGATTACAGGTGTGTGTCACCACTCCCGTTTAAAGGAGTCCGGGCTTTCCTGGCAGATGAAGCAGAAACAAAGGTCCAGAGGTGAGAAATAGCATGATGTGCTGAGAAGGCACGAGTGGGGTCTGCTAGTGGGGGTTCTGTGAGGCTGATACAGAAATCTAGGTCCATAATCATTTGCTACAGAGCTTTAAAGGCACCGTCACATTGTCTTCTATCTTTTAATCTTGTGTTGTTCTGATTCTTGTTCTGTTTTTTATTCTCTTTTTGACATATTTTAGGATCTTCTCTTGCTCTCTAGTATTTTTGGGGGGCCCGGGGATTGAACCCAGGGATTTCACAAGGTCACCACACACGTGAAAGATGAGTTTTGCTGTGGTTATTTTTCTGTCATTGTGCCTGACACACACCACTCTCTCTAACCTGGAAAGGCTCATTCATTTCAGGAGATTTTCCTGTATTTCATTTATAGTGGATCATACCCACACACATTTTATCTCTCTTTACCTCACATATCCCACTTTCTCCTTTTAGATCCTTTATTAATCAGAGATTGGATGATTTGGCTTGATCTTCTAACTTTTCTTATTTCCTGTCTAGCTCTACTGGCACTTACTCTGGTACTTTGTCCTGTATTTGTTGCAATTTTGGACCACAATTTCTTTCTCTTGGCACTGTCTCTGTGGAAATTCCCCAGGGCCTAGGTTGAAGATGAACCCATCCTGGGAGGGCTTACATGGCTTCTGCTGGTGTGTGGTGGGACTGCCAACCCCTGAGTACTCTCAGTTCTTGCCGATTTGTTTTTAGGAAGATGAGAAGATCCTCAAAGCTTTCAAAAAAGAAAAAATAAAACAAGACATTCGGGCAGAAAAAATATAGCTTGGGGTTATAAATTCTCTACAAATATTTAAAAGAAAAAAATGAAGAAGGTCCAGTAGGTATCTGGCTCCCAAACAATTCCCTAGGGACAGTTTGGGTGCCAGCATATTTTTTATCCACTTTTACATGATGATGGAGTCCTTTAGGATTCCAGCTTTATGGTAGGGTCTTTTTTATTAGATTTCCTACTTTATTTTTTGAGACAGCGTCTCGATATGCAGTTTAGACTGGCCTTGAACTATGTAGCCCAGGCTGGCCTCATTTGTGGTGCTCCTCCAGCCTCAGCCTCCCATATGTGGGATTACAGGTGTGTGCCACCAGCCCAGCTAGACTTCCTACTCTGAGGAAGCCCTAGGCTTTATCTCCTATGCCACAGTAGTACCCATTGAGGCCACCATGCTCAAATTCAATTCTTTGCTACCTCCCTTCACTTACTTATTGGTCTTTCCCTAGTGTTTACTTTCGTGTCAGGTCATACTACATTTTTTTCCCCCAGTACTGGGAATCAAACTCAGGACCTTGCACTTGCCAGGCAGGCGCAGTGTCACTGAGCTACATCCCCATCCCATCATAACTACATTTTATTTATTTATTTATTTATTTATTTATTTATTTATTTATTGGTACTGGGGATTAAACTTGGGTCCTTGCGCTTGTGGGGCAGGCAGCAGAACCACTGGGCTAAGTCCCTGGCCCCATAACTACATTTTAAAAATGACCTTTTAGGCCAAAGATCTAAACAGAACAATTTTGAAAACTTACCTTAAGTTGAAAAATGACTAAACCATGTCCATACTACAGAACACAGTATTACTCAGCAATGGAAACTATTGATATAGGGCTGGGGATTTAGCTTGGTGGCACTGCGCACCTGCCTTCCAAGCACAAGGTCCTAAGTTCGATCCCCCATACCAGAAAAAAAAAATGGATGGAAACTATTGATACAATAACTTTGGTGGATCTCAAGGCTCCCCCCCCCCC